GAGGGAAATGTGAAGGGGAGGAAATCAGAGAGGGAGACAAACCACAGAAGACTCTGGACTCTGGTGAACGAAACTGAGGGTTATAGAAGGGAGGGAAAGGTGGCGGAGGTAACCGGATGATGGACATTAAGAAGGGCAGGTGATGTGATAAGCACTGGGTGTTATATGCAACTAATGATTCGTTGAACACTACATCAAAAACTAATGATGTACTATATGCTGGCTAATTGGACAGAATAAAAAAATTTTTTTAATCTTTTAATCCACCACTCGCCCTCAGGAAGGAAAGAAAAGAAACAAAGAGCAAGAGAGAGAGAAAGAAAGAAAAGCAGGACACTGTGGTTTTGCAGCATTGAGAAAGGGGCCTTGAGAGGCAACTGCCCTGAGTGCAGACTCTGGGGCGTGTCTGCGCTCTACTCTCACCCTCCCTCTGAGGCACCAGGTGTCTCCAGGGATGCTGAAAATGTTCGTGTTCTCTTCTGTCTGCACAGATGTGACTCCCCTTTTTACTTTGCTTACCTGCTTCTTATCTTTTCTCTTGTTTTCCTTTACCCTTGTGGGCTCATATTTTCTATCATTATATTCTCACTTTAGTGAAATATGTGAGGAGAAGACAGATGAGCATATGTGTGGATAAATCTACCATATTTAATCAGAAACCCACTTTTACTCTTAAAAAGTAAAGCAGTGAAATGAGTATTTAAGTAGTGTTAGTTTTTAAGTGTCTGCAGTCATTGTCTCCTAAAGTTAAGAGTGTTAAGTATCTTTGTAAAGATTAAGGACACCAAACACTCCTCAGAAGTTGCTATTTTCTTTTAAGTGTGTGAGTACATAATTCCCTTTCCAGCTGTTTCACTGCTCTCCTTCCCTGTGATCTACAGCTTCAGTCTCCTGTTGGCCCATCTTTCCCAAATCTCTCCAACCTCTAATTTAGACCAGACTCTGTGTTACATGAGAGCCCTTCAGTCATGCTTCGTCTCCCCACTCCCTCCCCTCCCAAACGTTATTCTAGACATTCGTCAGTCTCCTAAGCCCCTTGTCCATCTTCCTCTTCGGGCCTAGAAAGTCATTCTGACTCCTCCATGACAAAATAAACAAGTTTAGGCCTTCATTCTCCAAACTCCTGTTCCTCTAATTTTCTCTCTTCCTCTAAACTTTGCCCTTTCAAGAGATAATTATTTATTGAGAACTTACAATGTTCAAAGCACAGTATGTAAAAGAATAGAGCACAAGAAGGTCTCTTGAAAATTTTTAGAAAAAAAAATGTAATAGAACAGAGAGACAAATTCAAAGAAATGAATGTAAGAATAAATGATAAACAAGTAGAGTCTCAATCCAGAAGACTCAGAAAGAACCGAGAAAACAAAGGGAAGGAAAGCATCAGAGAAAGAACACAATGAAATCCCTGAGGTTGACGGACATGAGTGCTGCCTGGGAGGGGCCACCAGACACACAACATGTAGGATGAGGGAGGAGTGCTCTGGGGATGGATGAGAGGAATTCATCTCTGAGGCCTGAAGTAGGAGGAGGAGCTGGATGCAAGAAAACAAGAAAGCGACAGGAAATTAACCTCCCAGAGAAAAAATGTCAGGAGGTCCTGAGTCGTGAAGACCTATGAGAAGCTACTGTTGCCTCTGTGTGGGTCACAGCCAGGTGTTGTGTTTGTGTCGTGGAGGGAACTTCACAGGGTGAGCTGGAGAAGTAGGGGGCCAGCTTGCACAGTAAACACTATTAAATTGAGCTCAGAACAGTCAAAGACCTTGGGAACGGTAAAAAATCTGAGAGGATGTTAAGCAGTGAAGAGACCATGCCCTGCCGTATTTTGAAAGGGCATTGTGCGTTATTCCGAAGCGATTGTTGGAAGGTGAAAGTGTATGGGGTTGTCTGTAGCTCAGAAAAGAACCAACAGAAACTGCCCCACAGCTTTTACAAATGGCAAGAAAGACCGTGAAATCAAAGAGCTCGCGGGCACCAGATCTGTTCGGTAACAAAAATTCAACCAAGTATATTTTGAAGATCAAATTGGCTTTTTAACATGATTCCTGACTAGGGCAGGATCCCATCTAACAAACAGGGGGATGTTCTGAGGAGTTAAACCAAGTGGAAGGTTTTAGAGAAGGAAGGTGGGGCGGGTATGTTACTAGTCAAAGAAAGGGAATGTTTCCGTGAGTGGCTTTTCCTTAGGGGAAAAGAAAGAGTCTTGCCAGGCAGACTACCTCATCTTTCTTCGGGGATGGAGAGTGCCCATGTGGCGGACTTATTGGTACTGATCTGATGGAAAAATTCCTGACGGATGGTTAAGACTACATTTCTGAGGGAGACTAAAGCTACAGTTAGATTAGGTATTAAGCCTGTTTAGGAACTCAGTCTAACAGGGCTAAAATTATAAAATTCTGTGTCATTGTCTTATTTGTGGTAATTAAAGCTTTTTGAATGGACAGGTTGCCTAATTAGAAGTAACACAGTAAATTAGGGGGCCTGTGTTTCTAGCAGAGACCTCTTTCTGGGGTCCGTACCCATGTATGCAGCTACCTGGAGGCCTGCCCATAAGCATCTTAAAAGAATCCAAAACAAGCCCATCATCACCTTCCTTGGGGCCCCAAACGGTTTTTTTCTTTTTTATGCCCTATCCTAGAAGCTAGCATCATCATTCACCTTGGCCACCAATGGTAGAAGCCTAATGGTCATCCTAAGCTGCTGCTTCTCTCATACGGTCCCGAACAGTACGTTGTTATGTTCTGTCCGTCCAGCCAGCTGAGTGTTTCAGAAACTGCCTCATTCTTCCCTTGCACATTACGACGAATTGTTTTGGCTCTTGCTTTTTCCTTCCCACACTAGTGCAAGAGTCCCTGACCAACATTCCCAGGGCACGCTCTCCCATGCCCTTCTTTCTCACCATTGCCACCGTTGTCTTTTTTTAAAATGAGCAAATCTGATCATATTACTTACCATTATTTACCCTCTTCCTGGATGGAATTGACCATGCCCTCCTGGGTAGCCCTGGATGCTGTGTTCACCCTTGTTTTTAATGTAGCCATCTACATTAAAGGATAGAATTTGCATTTTATTTATATGCATTCATAAGCCTCATATACCCTAAGTGCCCAATAAATGCAGAGATAATATAGTGATTAAGAGTTCAGATTCTTGGTAAAAGAGCTCTAAGGACAAATTTTGTTTCTAAAATGCAGTAGCAACGCAAGCAAAATGCTGGTTTTTGGTGGGAATGAGAGAAAGGGGAGACTTCCTCCACTGTTGGTGGGAATGCCAGCTGGTGCAGCCACTCTGGAAAACAGTGTGGAGGTTCTTCAAAAAGTTAAAAACAGAGCTACCCTACGCCCAGCAATTGCACTACTAGGTATTTATGCAAAGGATACAAAAATTCCGATTGGAAGGGATATATGCACCCCTATGTTTATGGCAGCTTTATCAACAATAGCCAAATTATGGAAAGAGCCCAAATGTTCATCTACTGACGATGCGATATATATGTATAGTGGAATATTGGAATGAATATATATATATATATAGTGGAGTAGTGGAATATTACTCAGCCAGAAAAAAGAATGAAATCTTGCATTTGCAACGCCATGGATGGAGCTGGAGAGTACTATGCTAAGTGAAATAAGTCAGTCAGAGAAAGACAAATACCATGATTTCACTCTTAAGTGGAATTAAAGAAACAAAATAGATGAACATAGAGGGGGCATAGAAAAGAGAGATGTGGTAATTAGAGAGACAAACCAGGAAACAGACTCTCAACAGAACAAACTGAGGGTTGCTGGAGGGGAGGTGGACAGGGGGATGGGTTAAATGGGGGATGGATATGGATATTAAGGAGGACACTTGCGGTGAGCACTGGGTGTTGTATGTAAGTGATGAATCACCAGATTCTACACCAGAAACTAAAACTACAGTTAACTGTTAACTAACCGGAATTTAAATAAAAACGTGAAAAATTAAAAAAAAAATTTTTTTAATAAAATGCAGCAGCTGGATGGCTCAGCAGGTTGTCATATGTCATCATCTGTGAGATGGATGTAATGGTAGTATTTAGCTTCACAGTGATTTTGAGCGCATTGGCAATAATAATTATAATAATACATAGTTGTGAATAGCAAATGAATTGTTTAGTCTCACTTTATCACTCACAAGATCAAACCCAGGTGTCGAGCACCTTCAGGATCTGGCCTCTGCCCCTGGGTCTGACCACACCCGCATATGTAACTCTGCCCTTGGTAGACACAGAAAACTACTGGCCATTGCCTAAATACGCTGTATTCTCTCTCCCCCTCCATTCCTTTCTGTGTGCTGTCTCGCTTCACATGGAATCTCTTTTTCCACTTTGTCTTCCTGGCAAATGTTTACTCATCCTTTAAGACTTCCCATGCCACTCCCTCCCACTGCCCCGCCCCTTACTCAAGCTTGGCTAGACTTTTCTTCCTGGCTCTGTTTTGTGTCTGTGTGAACCTCTTAAGGGCAGACTCTCAGCTCTGCATTCACAGCATCTAGTGAATGCGAGGGCATGAATTCAGTAGATGTTTATTAAACAAATGAATGCAGGGATGAATGACACTCTGATACAGGTAAATGGTGGCTTAAAAAAAAAAATGTTATGCCCTATATGAGGGTCAGCAAATCCTGCCCGCCCACTGCCTGGTGCTACATACACCGTTTTCTCGGGACCTTGCTGTGGGTCCACATCCGGGTGTTGGGATTCATGGCTGGGCTAGGGAGGGCATCAAAGCTGCGTCGTTGAGACAGAACCCGGATGGCCCACAAAGCCTGAAATGGGTACTAGCTGACCCTTTACAGAAAAAGCTTCCTGATTCTTGCTCTATGTGGGTGAATTCCTTTAAAAAATGTTTGGAAAGGACAGGTTCGATGAGCAACGTTCACATTTTTTTCTATGGTGTATAAAACTATGGCAGTGTTCATATGCATTTCTTTTCCAGACAGCCATATTCAGTTTAACTCTCTGGCATTTTTGAACTAAACAGGAAGGAGCAAGCTTTTACAGGATGAATGGCCTGGGTCCTTTGCCTCAAGCCCTTTATAATGGAGAACCCTTTAAGCTTGAGCAGCTGAATGCTGCAGAGCTGGAAACAAATGTTCTTCACAGAATGATGGATGCAACCATAAATTTACAGAGGGAGGTTTTGACGGTAGGTAAGCCCTTATGAGAAAATACATGATAAATGATGCTTAAAAATGATTTCTGTACTAAAATATCTTTTCATGGCAAAAATTTCCATCCTGATCACTTAGCAATTAACTTAAAAGTAGTAATTAGTTAATTAAGCTTACCTATGCATAATTACATCAAGAATTGCTTAATTGGAAAGAAAATTCAAAGTTTTACAGGCAAATTTGTTATGAAATTTATTGTATGAATCCTAATTGCCTACATTACTTATTTATTTAGATGATGTAGTTGTTAAGTGTATTCTGTGCAAAACTTTAAAATATATGCATATAAATTGCCTAGATTACCTAAGTAGTATTTTTTTGTTGTAGGGCGTATTAAATGATCAAACAAATGTAATTGATTTCCTTATGGAGAAGAAGAATGTCGTACCCAGTGTAAATCCTTCGATTTTGCACACAAAATGGCAGTACCTTAATTTAATATCCACATCAGGTAAAATAATCCTTCCATATACTTTCTACAAATGCTTATTGAGTTGTGAATGTTTTATTAATTGGTTATGTAACATTTAATATGAAAATTTTTCAGTAACTGCTGATGTTGAAGATTTCTCCACATTCTATTTCTTGGATTCACAAGATAAGAGTGCTGTAATAGCAGAGAACATGTATTATTTAACCCAAGAAGGTAATAAGCATATTTTATTTTCTTGACTTTATTCCTAAAGTAGCAAAATTTGTAATTTTGGTAAGGTGGTTGCATAGTGAATTTGTATGTTGCTACTTGACTCGGGGTCTTGTTGTTAAGAGTTTGTCTTTTGTTAGGATCTAAGCATTGTGCTGAGAAGCTGCCTTCGACCCTGCTGACTCTTACGTACACAGGGGTTCATCTTGGTTTTTTGCCTTTTCTCAAAGCAAGCTATTCCATTTTTCACCTTTTTAAGAAAGTGGCAAAACCCTTTTCGGGACTGTGTAAACTGATGCTTCTCACTGCATGAATAAGAGTGTAATTCCCAGGTCAGAGGAGAGTAGTTCTGCACTCGCTTAAACAACATCAAGGCTTTTGCTTACATTGAGGATTATAACAAAGGAGGGGAGACTGATCCAGGACGGTGCTTGCAAATATGGACTTGCAAATATAGCCTGGACGGGGGCATCTGCAGTGGGTTCACAGTGACCTGTTCCGATAGGCAAAGGTAGAGTTTGGTTGGGTTTGTTAGGTTTTGTTTTGTTTGACCATCTTTGCTCTAGAGAGAAAAAATGAGAGCCGATACACATTAAGATAAGAGAAGGCTGCTTTTTATCTCTGTGTGTAAAGCAGTCATCTAACAATGAGAGTGATTTCAAGATAGGATGAACTGTGTAGTAAGTGATGTATTTTTACATATGAGAGTTTTAAGCTGAGGCCTCCCAGCCAGTTTTTTAGAATGCTGTGGAATCAAGTTTGGGCCAGATGGTTGCAGAATTACTTTCTAACAGATCTTTGATATTATGTTTGTAAAGTGGTCTGTCTCCAAGAAATCCAACAAATAATAAAGTATAATGCAGTTCTGTATGATGGCAGAGTAGAGTCCTGACTATGTTTAATGAAAAGGAAACAGAGAAACAGGGAATAAAAAATAGAAGAAATCTATTTATCAGGTCCTGAGGTGTATTTCGAAAATTGTCTCTGGATATCAGGGTAAGTTAGCCTATAATTAATGCCCTTTGGTTAAATCTCTAACAATTTAAAGGAATATTACCTGAGAAACACCTATGTTCCTCTTTCTTGCAATTACGTAAGTGTGTAAAGAAATAATGGAGTTGTGAGAAATTTACATAGCGCTTCTGAAATAATTCTCAATTTACTATGATGGTTAAAAGTGCTGCGCTAAGACGTTAGAATTCTTTCCCTTTCTTCTTTGAAAAGAACATACCACTACCTTACTCTTAAGTTGCTTCCATGTGGACTCAATGTTAGCCTTCTTGTTAACAGTTTTTGTGTAATATTGTGTAGATGTTACTGAGTATGTAGTAACTATAGCTTCACATCTCTTCAGGACTAAGTTTTTGATATAGCAGATTTTTAGCACCTGTTTTTAAGTAGGCCATGTGATCAGGGGGACTAATTTTTCTATAGGTTTTAAAGATAACTAGACTAGTATTATTTCAGGTGACAGATGCTGAGCCTAGGTGAAATTAAACCCATTAAACTGACTTCAGAATTAAAAGTTTCTCTTCGTGGCTCCAAATTTTCAGATTTTTCTGAAAAAAATAATTGTATTGCTGTTGCTGGCACAAGATGATGTAGATTAGGCCAAGTTAATGACAACCAGTTTTTTTTTCTTTGAAATAAATGAATTATAAGCTAATAAAATATTGCTGTTTTAAATATCTACTGATAAGCTTTATTGTATCTAGTTTTACATATAGTGGGGTATAAGTATCAGTTTAAAGAAAATGTAGCTGTAGCTGGAAGATAGTTTTGTTACCAACACTGAAAACATAATAAGCATAATGTAATTTTCATCTACTAATAAAAGAATTCCACAGATAGGTCCCTTAGGGACTATTCTTTTTGGCATCTGAGTTTCTATAAGCCTATAGAACACTCTTCTAGTATTTTTATACACATGTCAGTGTGTGTGTGTGTATAATCTTTAACAATATTTGCTTATTTTAAAAAAATTAAATTTAATAATTTAATAATTTTTAATGTATGTTGTTAACTGGAAACATTCCCTGCTTTTAGTTTGATTTTTAGAAGAGGTAGTTTGACTAAACTATTTGAAACTTTCAGAGGATGATGTAATTTCTTCAGTTACTCTCTGGATTATTGCTGATTTTGACAAACCATCTGGGCGAAAACTACTGTTTAATGCATTAAAGTTCATGGTGAGTACTTAGATGTTTATTCTTACTACAAAAATTTTAATTTTTTGTTAATTTTGAGAAAGCCAAATGAAGAACATGCATTCAGTCTTTATTCCCCTCCCTATTAACATTTTAAATACCTCAAGTTGTTGCTAAAGGAACTTAGGAACTCCCTCACAAAATTCCTGTGTTCAAATCTGATGGCCTTGTGATGGCATTTGGAGGTGAGACCTTGAGGAGGTAAGTAGGTCATGAGGTGGAGCCCTTGTGAATGGGATTAGCGCCTTTGTAAGAAGAGACATGAGAGAGCCTTGCTCCTTCTCTTCCCATCATGTGTAGATAAAAGGACAAATCAATAGTCTGCAACCTGGAAAAGGTTTCTCACCAGAACCTGACCAGGCCAGCACCCTGATCTCAGGTTTCCCAGTCTCCAGAGCTGTGGGAAATAAGTTTCTGTTCATTTGTTGCCACCCTGTTTATGGTTACTGTGTTGTAGCAGCCAAAACTGACTAACACTTAGCAGTTATAAATAAGCTATTAAAACAGAGTGAATGCTTCTGGACCCTGCCATTACAACGATGACCCCAAATCTACTTTTTACCAACAAAACCTCACAATAGCAATTTTTCATCACATTATCAGGCAACACTTTATTTCTCTGATTATTTAAGAAAAAACAGATTTTTTTCTCACTTCAGAGTATTTTAAGCCTTAAATCAACCTTCATTTTTTGTTATTAGAGAATTACAAACCAATATACTTCAACAGGGTACATTTCTATAAAGAGCACCTGAGTGGCTTAGTCGGTTAAGCATCTGACTCTTGATTTCTGCTCAGGTCATGACCTCAGAGTCAGGAGATTGAGTCCTGCCTGGGGCTCTGCGCTGGGTGTGGAGCCTGCTTCCCTCATCCACCCCCCCATTGTCATTCTCTCTAAGAAACAAAAATCAAATCAAACAAAAATCAGAAAACTCTTTTATAACCTTCTTTATTTCTAAGGGAGCATTAAAGTCTGTCTAGATTAAAAACACCTAAGAAACATAAACCAAAATATTTAATGAAATTGTTTTGTATTAGCTAAGTGTAAATCTGTTGCTGATAACAAATTACCCATAACTTAATGGCTTAAAACAACAGTTTTTTCCCCATTGTCTGGGGTTTAAGAATTCAGGAGTGACTCAGCTGAGTACAAAGCATGAGTATAGAGAAGTGGGTATCATTGGCGGCCATCTTGGAGGTGCTCTACCACATCAAAAATAGTTGATACATTTTAAACAAAACATAACATTAGCTAGGAGAATTTTCATGTCATGTTAGATAATCTCAGAATACACTGTGACTTCTTTAAGTGGCCTGCAGACGAGCATTTTCCAAAAAGGGTGTTTGGGATCTAGGGAGTACGTCACTTCCTTCTCAAGAATTTCTGGTAGCATGTTCTTTGTAAGGCTGACAGACTGCCTTTTCCCAGTAGTTACAGTGTATATGGCTCTCCCATTATGCACATATTGGTATGTTTAATGGTGTCCTGCGTATCTCTAAGGATCTATTCATTTTTGTTCATTCTGTCTTATAGTCCTATGGATTTATCTTTAAACTCAGCGATTCTTCCTTCTGACAACTAAAATCTCTTGAACCCCTCTGAGGGAATTTTTTATTTCAATTATTGTACTTTTCAACTCCAGAATTTCCATTTGGTTCTTTTTTTTTTTATAATTTCTATCTGTTATTATTCTCAGTGTAATAACTTGTTATAACCATATTTTCCTTTAATTCTTTAAACATGATTCCCTTTAGTTCTTTGAACATATTTATGTGTCTGCTAAGTCCATTATCTAAGGCCCCTCCAAGATCGTTTTTGATGCTTGTTATTTTTCCTTTGCATAAATCATACTGTCCTATTTGACTGCATGTCTCATAATTTTTTATTGAAAACCAAACATTTTGGATAATACACAGTAGCACATTCAGACACCAGTAACACCTCATCCCCAGGGTTACCCATTGTTTGTTTGATCATTTGTTTATTTGTTTAGTGATGGGAGGGAACTAACTCTGTTGTCTACTTCCCTCTTATTGTTTATCTCTGATGTTCCTACTTAGACTCTTTTCCTTGTTTTTATCTTTTATCTTCTTTCCTAGCGATTGCCTCTGAGTCAACAAAAGCCAATTATTGCTCAGAGTTTGTGCTTGAGTCCCCATAAGTGGTTAGATGTCCACACTTCACTGTTGGATGTGTACTTGACTTAAAGGCTACTTTTCAGTTCAGGGATTTTATGATTTTGCCCCACATTCATCCGATTCATCTAGAATTCCCTTTCTAGTTACTCCTGAGAAGATTCAACCTTTGGCATGAAGTCTTCCAGACTGCCCAGAATGGATTTAATATTATTTTTAAACCTGCCTTCCTCGGAGTTGCCTGGTCAGAGTAGCTTTTTTTTTTTTTTTTTTTTTTTTTTTTTTTGAAGATTTTATTTATTTATTTGAGAGAGTGAGAGAGATAGATCATGAACAGAGGGGAACTGTAGAGGGAAAACGCGGCTCCCCACTGAGCAGGGAGCCCAATGCTGGACTCCATCCCAGGACCCCGGGATCATGACCTGAGCCGAAGGCAGACACTTAACAACTTAGCCACCCAGGTGCCCTCCAAGGAGCTTTTTATTCAGCAGTGTTTATTCAGGGAACACCTTCAAGTGTGTGCCATGCCCAGTTCTCATTTTCCTAAGTGAGGCCAGTGTAGAATATATGCAGTTTCACAGAACCTCAGGGATGCATGTGATCCCAGGACAGCTCTTTTCATCGGTCTCTTTCTTTGGTTCTCGCTGTTAGACCTCTGGCTGCTGTATCATTTCACCTAACATTTTCTTGCCTGGAGGACCCTATGAAAACAGGCTCCAGATGGAATTTCACCCACAGGCTATAATTTGCTGACTCCTGATCTTGTTTATTAACTAAATTATCTGTGATATCATTTTGGAGTTTTATTCTTTCCAGTATTATATCTTGAGCCTCTGTCATTTTCAATTCATTGTAGCCAGCTTGTTTCTAACTGCTGCCTTTATCTTACTGGGGCCTCTCCTTAAGGCTCTCTGGGGCCGTTTTTTGGAGACCATGTTTTCTTTTCAAAACTACACAAAGTTCAAAGGACTGATGTAATAAACACTTATATATCCAACACCTAGATCCTATAATTGTTAACATCTTGCTATATTTGATTTATCTAATTATCTGTTTGTAGGGGGGGAAGGGCAGGAATGGTCTAGATCATTATAAAGTAAGTTGTAGAAATCAGCATATATCATCCCTTAATACTTCAACATGCATTTTCCAAGAATTAGGATATTCTCTACATAACTGCAATAGCCCCTCACATTGTTAGTACTAAGTCTTCATTAAATCGTTCCCACAAAGGTGTCTTTTCTTTTTTCAAAGCAGGATCCAAACATGCTTCCCACAGTGCATTTCATTGTTAAATTTCATTAGTCTCTTTTGTTGTAGAACAGTCACATCTGCATTTTGTCTGGTGACTTTTTTTTTTTTTAAGATTTTATTTATTTACTATTTGACAGATCACAAGTAGTCAGAGAGGCAGGCAGAGAGAGAGAGAGAGAGAGGAAGGGAAGCAGGCTCCTCACTGAGCAGAGAGCCCGATGTGGGGCTCGATCCCAGGACCCTGGGATCATGACCTGAGCCGAAGGCAGAGGCTTTAACCCACTGAGCCACCCTGGCGCCCCTCTGGTGACTTTTTAAAGAGACCAAGCTTTATAGAAAAATCCCACATTCTGAATTTCACTGATTTTTTTTTTCTTGTAGTATTTTTAACTTTTCTCTAGCCCTCATATCTCCTCTATACTGGAAGTTATGTCTGAAGCTTAATTAGATTCAGCTTCAGCATGTTTTGGCAAGAAGACTTCATGTCTAACGCTGTATTCTTCTTGCTCTGTTTGTAGAATACCAACAGGAAAAAAATTCAAATGCCCGGCATCAGTAGAATAGATAAAATAGAGTATATTCATACTGTGGAATTCTGTACAATCCTACAGCATCCTGTGGAATTCTGTACAAAACTACAGCCACACAAAACAATGTTGGCAAATCTCACAACCAATATGTTAAGTGGCAACAGAGCAGGAAAGAATACATACTGTAGGGTTATATGTATTTGAAGTTGAAAACAGCTTAAATGTTTAACGATGATACTTAGGGGATGAACCAGAAAGCAGCAAGAATGATACAACCAATACATAACAGGGTAGTGGTTGTTTCTAGAAAAGTGGGAGGGTGTAGTGACAGGCAGGGTGTAAGAGAGATGACTCTGGGTTGCTGATATGGCTCTGTTTCTCCACCTGGGTTATAGTTTTATGGGCTAATTTCATTAAGTTTTGCACTTCTGTTTTGTGTATTGTTTTATATGTGTCATTTCACACACAAAAAGAGGGTAAACAAAGTTGCATTCTAAAACACTTTATACTAAGAGGTGAAGCACTTCAAGTTACTACAATGGCTGTTTGTAGGCTGTGTCAGTAGGTGCACGTTGAGTACAGCCCACCCAGAAAGATGCTGTGTGGTACACTGAACAGACTTGATGGGAAAGAAAACAGTTCAGCTGTACAAAGACATGTGAAATCTGATCTTTTTCACCTATAAATGTGTTTTGCAGAAAACAAGTGTTCACAGTCGGTTGGGGGTTATTTATAATCCTACTTCAAAAATAAATGAAGAGAACACAGCTATTTCTAGAGGAGTTTTGGCAGCTTTTCTTACACAGAAAAACAGCGTTTTGAGAAACTTTCTCAGGAAACTGGCAAAGGAAGAAACTGCTACAGCTATTTACTCTGGAGAAAAAATTAAAACATTCCTTACTGAGGTCAGTACCTATTTGTTTGGAATAATAAGTATCTGTTGTGTATTTAGGAAGTATAAGCCAGTGTTACCATGTTGCTGAAAAACATCAATAAGTAAGTATAATCAATTGGGCATAATAAACATTCTTTCAAACGAGAAAAGATAAATATTAAATGATCTGACTTTGCATCAAGGCATTTAGCAAACCAAATATTTCTACTACTACTTTGTGATTCTTGAAGTTGATGGCATTCTGGTTAGGACATGGACTTAAATGAAGAAATGGGAGTTAAAAGATTATGTAAGTAATACTCAGGTATTTCCCTGAAGGGATCCAGTATGAGGGACATTATAAAGATGGAAAATGATCCTCAAGAAGGAAGATTCATTAATCCTTTCAAAACTATTTTCTGATTGTCTGCCAGACAGTGGAGATGCACTTGTGAACAAGGCAGGTATATTCAGTCCCTGCTTATGTGAAGCTTACATGGTAGTAGGAGAGACAGACAGACTGAACAGTACTGGAACAATATAAAGAAAGAAGAGGGTAGATAGTTTGAGGGATGCTCTTTTAGCTGGAGTGGTCAGGGAAGGCATCTCTAAAGAGTTTACATTTAAGCAGAGGTCTGAAACGAGAAATCAAGCCGTGGAAAATCTGCAGGAAGAATGTACCAGATTAAGGAACACAGTAAGTCTAAAGGACTGCCACAGAGGTCAGCTTTCCAGGTTTGAGTATGGGCAGAAGATCATCATGAGCAAAATAGAGACAGCGATGTGGAGACTACAGGAGATGAAGTCAGGAACAGAACCCAGATATTTCAAGCACCTGTAGGACATGGTAAGGGCCTGAAGTCTTTCCTGAGTATAATGGGAAACCACTGAGGAATCTTGAAGAAGTGAGTAATCTTTAAAAAGATGACTTTGAGAGGCGCCTGGGTGGCTCAGTGGGTTAAGGCCTCTGCCTTCGGCTCGGGTCATGATCCCAGGGTTCTGGGATCGAGCCCCGCATCGGGCTCTCTGCTCAGCAGGGAGACTGCTTCCTCCTCTCTCTCTCTGCCTGCCTCTCTGCCTACTTGTGATCTGTCTGTCAAATAAATAAATAAACAAAATCTTTAAAAAAAAAAAAAAGATGACTTTGAATGCCATGTGAAGATTTGGTAGTAGGCAGACAAGAATGGAAATGGGATGAACAGTTAGAATGCTATTGTGATAATCGAGGCAAGAAATAATGGTATCTTGGACTAGGTGGTGGTGGTAGATTTAGTGAGGTGGTTGGCACATATATTTGTTACCACTCTAGTCAACAGGATTAGCTGATCAGTTGTATGTGACATAAAAGGTAATACCCTTCCATTTTAGCTTGAGTGGCTTGAATTGATGGTGGTGTCTTTTTTTGAAATGGGGAAATCTAGATGAGATTTGGACACATAAGGGATCAAAAGTTAAGTCTGAACATGTTGGAAGTTCCTGTTGGACATTCAAGTGGAGATGTTGGATTGACAGTTGAGTTAATGAGTATAGAAATCAATTCAGGGTTGTTGGGGTATTTTTAGAGTCAGACACTTTTGAGAGTTACCAACATTATACACAATTTAAAGCCAAGAAACTGGATGAGATACCTCAGGAGTAAGTTGGATGAGGGAAGAGAGGCTGAAAACAGAGCCCTGAAACATGCCAACATATAGAAGTGTGCAAGAAAAGGATGATCCAGTAAAGGAGACAGATGGAGCAGCCAACAAGTTAGGAACTTAACCAGGCAAGTATGGTATCCTGAAAGTCAGTTGGAGAAAATAATTCAAGGAGGAATGATCAACTATACCAGATGTTCCTGAAATAGGCTTCATAACTGACCATTTACTTATTAAGGTGGGCATTGATGAGAATTGTTTCAGTGGAGTAATAGGTATAAAAGCAGATTGAAAAGAGAATGGGAAATCAGGAAATGAATGTAAATAGCCCTTTTAAAAAAAAACTTTAATTTATCATGAACAGAGAAATATTTTGTATCTAGAACAGGACTTGAGGTCAAGGATTTCTAAACTGGGGAGATGTCACTGTTCTATATGGACACAGTCCATCCAAACGATGAGAAAGGATGATACAGAGAGAGGGGACCAGAGTTAAGAGCAAAGTTCTTGAGTAGATGAGAGATGCCATGATCCAGTGGACAAGTGTTAACTGTTGGTCTTAAGAAAAGAAATGTTCGGAGTGCCTTGGTGGCTCAGTCATTTGGGCATCTGGTTCTTGGTTTCAGCTCAGGTGGTGATCTCAGGGTCCTGGGATCAAGCCCCATGTCGGGCTCCACCCTCAGCATGGGGTCTGCTTCAGACTCTCTCACCCATTCCCTCTGCCCCTCCTCCCTGTGTTCTCTCTCTTTCTCTCTCTCTGAAATTTAAAAAAAAAGAAAGGAACTGTCTGTCTCTTTTAACCAGAAGGAAGGCAGAATGTATGGGCACAGTTGTAGAAGGGTAGATTTATTTGGTGGCAGCAGGATGAAGTACTTCTAATTATATTCATTTTCAGAAGAAATTCCGGTCTTTGCCAAGTGTAAGAGTAAGAGTAGGTATTATTAGGGGTTGGAGGAAAGAGGAGAAAATGCCACATATTTCTCTATTATTCTGAGAGTAGGCAAGTGAATTTAATACATTAGCATGGGAAGGTTTCTTAGGGCCTACTTGATGTTAATGACCCTAAATTGAAAGTGAGAATAGTATTAGTTGCATGTTTTTCTCTAGCTGTATTAACAGTTTGGTTCTAGTTGCAGGGGAAGCAGAGTTGTGTTCAAACAGAGCTGGGGATTTGCCAGGTGAACATGAATTCAGGGAGGCATTCAAGGGAGCTAAGCAGGAAGGTTTTTGTTGTGGTAAAGGACTTTGGGGTGTAACTCAGGAGGAAAATTATGGCAGGTATGATGGGCAGTAAATAAATGGTAGGGGTTGAGGACTAAAGGGGTTGAATAATGGTCTGATGACACCAGGTTGCATGAGCTGGAAGTTCTGGAGCTTGTGGTCAGAGATGGGATGATTGAGATGGAGATTTTGGAAGAAAGAAGGATCTAAGACTGCGCTGTCCACTACTGTATCCACTAAACTGAATGTGGCTCTTTAAGACTTAAATGAAAAATTAAGTTAAAATTTAAGTTCTGGCACATGTGGTGATGAGCACTGGGTGTTATATGCAACTAATGAATCATTGAGCACTATATCAAAAACTAATGGTGTACTGCATGCTGGCTAATTGAACACAATAAAACATTTTAAAATATGAAATTAAAAATAAATAAGTAAATAATTTAAGTTCTGTGCTCCAGTCATACTGGCCACGTGTTAAGTGCTCAGTGAGTGCAGTGAAACATTCCTACCATCGTGGGAACAATGAACATGTTAGAAATTCAGAATTTAAGGCCCTACCCTGGATCTTCTGAAATAGGAACTACATTTTAATAAGACACCAGGTGATGGAACATTAAAATTTCATAAGTACTGATATGGAGAAGTGTGTCTTAGTGTGCAGATGTGAAGAACCTGTTCGTGGTTTATTTTCTGTGAATGTCCATATATTTTTTGACTCTAACCAAGGATTACTTGTGTATTTCAGAAATAAAATGCATTATTACTAAATTAGTTTTTTGAGATTGGTAGAATGAGGTGAGATAGGGTATTTCTATTTTAAACCGTTGTTTTTACCAAGTGTTCCAAATAGGGGTACTGAGTTCAGAATTTAATAAACATTTGCTTCATTTCTTTAATGTTAAATTTTGTTTCTGTTGATGCCTCCCAGCCTATTACTAATCAATAATCCACCTGAAATTTTCTAAGAATGAATGGCATATATCTCCTCATCACAAGATTTACAAATATGGTAACTGACTTGGCAAAGAAATATTCTTTTTTTACTGTTGCAGAAGAAAATAGTACTTTTAAAATCATAATTTAGAATAATTTCAAATTTTGCATTAATATAAAGCAGGCTTTAAGAAAGTGATTTAATATATTTTTCTCTTGCTAATTTCATCCTTCTTAATTTATGCTTTAGGGGATGGATAAGAATGCTTTTGAGAAAAAATATAACACTGTTGGAGTGAATATTTTCCAAACTCATCAGCTGTTCTGTCAAGATGTACTTCAATTGCGTCCTGGAGAACTAGGTATTGTCAGCAATGGGAAAGTAAGTAGAAAAAGCAGTTGCTCACTTTTCTCATGTACCTGTGCTAGAGGGGTTTCAGATGTGTCTGTCTCACAACATACCTGCTACAGCACTTGCAGAGGTCGGGGCTCCTACGCCAGACACAGCACATAGGTCTGAGCATGAATGATAGGGCGTGCTACTGGTTTCCTCACCCCAGCCCCCACTGATGACAGCGCTGAAGGTGGTGGGTAAGACTGTTTCATGGGGAGAGCTTTAATTTGGCTGTGTTACAAGTACTAGAACGAACAACTTCATATCCACTACAGCACTGTGACTGAGAACCACTGTTGCAGTGGGGGTGTGGAAAGTACCTTGTGACACTTTTTTCTTACCGCTTTTCTCTACAATTGACTAACTTCCGAGAAAGTGTTGGATTGTTATTTTGGAGGTAAAACATAATAGTTATTAATGTAATCATTAAAATCTATAAGGAAAACCACTCTTACTCTTACCCTCCTAATAAAATTTATTATTAATAGTTTCACCTCCTAACCCTTTTTTCTACTCTACATAGCCATGTCTGGTTTATAAAAATACAGAGTTGTAGTCCTATTATATATATGTATGTATAAAATTTTATATCACTTTTTTTCTTAGTATATCAGAAACATTTTTCTGATTAGAGAACCTTTATAGAACTACAGAATTCATGATGATATCTACTTATTTTTTGAGTATGAGAATCTGGTTTTATTTCTCAGGAATGATTTAAGTTTTAAAAAATTGAATCTGGTGCTTACATTTATTAAGATTTCAACTAATGCAATGTGTTTGACATATCTTTGCTTGAACTACCAAATTATATATACCTAAATTGTCTTCCAAGCTGTATATAATAGACTCTTAACGTTTTCTTTGTTTTCTACGTTATTTGAGAGAGAGAATACATGCATGAGCAGGGGCAAGGGCAGAGGGAGAAGCAGACTCCCCGCTGAGCAGGCAGCCCTACGAGGAGAGGGGCTCAATCCCAAGACCCTGGGATCATGACCTGAGCTGAAGATAGACACTTAACTGACTGAGCCACCCAAGGGCCCCTGTTTTCTACATTTCACCAATGTTTTATTACCATATCATTTTCCCTTGAAATTATGTTTGTTCTTTTTTTTTTTTTAATTTTTAAAGATTTTTATTTATTTATTTGACAGACAGAGACACAGCAAGAGAGGAAACACAAGCAGGGGAGTGGGAAAGGGAGAAGCAGGCTTCCAGCAGACCAGGTAGCCTGATGTGGGCTCCATCCCAGGATCCCAGGATCATGACCTGAGCGAAGGCAGACGCTTAATGACGGAGCCACCCAGGTCCCCTGCTTATTCGCTCTTACTTTAATCTTTAAATAGTAGGAATTGGAGAATAGTGAGGGACTCATATTTGCAAACCTTCACAGATCAATCTATCTGCTTCAGTGTAGCAGCGTTCAAGCTAATTGCATTTGCTTCTAAAGGTTCATGTTTGTACAGTGCTGTTTTACAAATCAGTGATGACAGTTGTCATGTGCTATTACAGTAATACAAAGTATTTGTGAATTTGATAGTGAGGTATGTGGAAGCACAGAAATTGAATTGCTTTTTTTTTTACCGGTTGCTCTAGGAAGAAATGTAGCTTTTTATTTATTTTTTATTCATTTATTTTTAATTTTTTAAAATGTTTTATTTATATATTTGACAGTGAGAGAGAGAGAGAGAGCGCGCATGCACAAGTAGGGGGAGTGGCAGGCAGAGGGAGAAGCAGGCTCCCCACTGAGCAGGGAGCCCGATGTGGGGCTCGACCCCAGAACCCTGGGATTGTGACCTGGGCCAGAGGCAGCCACTTAACTACTGAGCCACCCACATGCCCCGAAATGTAGCTTTTTAGAACGGTTTTACAGTATGTGGCTATCTTTGGCTCTCTGGCATTTTAAGGGATGAAGAGGAAAAAATTACACCTGATGTATCTAGTACCTTGCCTTTTGGTAATACAGTATGAAAAAGCTCCCCTATGTTTTCTTTGCCATTGTTTAATGTAATTCATAAGTTGTTATCAATATTAGTGATAACAAATGTTAGTGATAGTTATGTTTATTTTTTCTAGAATAATGGTTTCTCTTCATTGTCCTTGAAATTTACAAAAGTAATCAGATCCTAGGGGTACCTGGGCATTGACTCAATCGGGTAAGCCTCCAACTCTTGATTTCAGCTCAGGTCATGATCTCAGGGTCATGAGACTGAGCCCCACGTCAGGCTCTGCACTCAGCATGGTGTCCGCTTGAGATTCTCATTCTCCCTCTCTCTTTCTCTAAATAAAAGCTTAAAAAAATATATTCAGATCCTAATTTTGCACCAGCTGTGAACCAAACATCATTCTAGGTTCCGAGAGTATAGTAGTGAACAAACATGTTTTCGCGAAGCTTATATTTTGGTGGGCAGCAACAGAGAACAAGTAAGATCCTTATTGATAAGGTGTCATTTGGAGAGAACCAGAGGAGGTGAGGGAGCAGGCCGTGTAGAATATCTGGAAGAAGAATGTTCTAGATAGAGGGAACATGGAAGACAAAGGTCCCGAGGTGAGATGATTGCTGTGTGTTCTGGGAATCGCAGGTACGAAGAGAGGAGTCCGAAGAGAAGCCGAGCGAAGGCGTTGCCATACCAGACGCTGTGGGGTTTTATAGACCGTGGAAGGACTCCTGCTTTAGGCTGGGTGATGAGTCCTGAAGCTCAGAGTTCTGGACAGAGGACTGACATGATCCAACTCATGTTTTATCTGGGTCTCTAGTGGCTGTTCTGTTGAGAATAAACTGGAGGGGGTCAGAAAGCCAGCTGGGAGCCGTTTCAGTAGTCCCGGCGAGAGCTGCTGGTGGCTTGGACCAGAATGTCTCTGCTGGAGGTAGTGGGGAGGGGCTGTGGGATGTATTTTGGAGAAAGAGTGAACAGGAATTGCTGACAGACTTGACGTGGGATGTGAGAGAACCGTGTAACCGGCAGAGTGGGCTTGCCGTGTAATCAAGGCGAGGAAGTCTGCAGACAGCGTGGGGTTGTTGAGGAGGAGTGGAAGGGGAAGGAGTTCATTCTGCACAGAGGAGGAGTTCACCAGTCAGTTCTGGACATCCGCCACCGCTCGTTGGGTTGGCAATTGAACGTATGAGTCGAATGCAGGGGAGAGGTTGGAGCTGGAGATTGAGGTTAAGTCAAATTACATTGACTTGTGTGTTGCTTCATAGGAAATTATACTTTTATTTATGGAAGTCTGTTTCAAATTGAAAAGTATATCTGAAAAGCAGTACTGTGGTTTATGAGCTGTCGTGTAATACTTAGCTTATTACTCTGTCTCCGAGTAATGCTTAAAAAGCACAATAATCAGAGCATTTGTAGCAGATAGTTACATCTCTGAACCAGATAGTTCGTGATTGAAATCTGACACTTTAGAATCAGTCTTAATTCTGAACCTGTCCAAATGTTTGTTAGAATTGGAACATACTCAAAGCCAAATTGTTTAATGTAATGATTAAAACTGGGGGGGGGGGCAGCAATCATCTTATACTTTTTTACTATATGCTCAAGAATTAAAAATTTATATGTTTTTAGTAGTCAATAAAGTGCTAAATAACACTGTTACTATAATTATAATGAATTTACTGTTATTAACCTACATGTTTACAAATTGGTGAAAGAGAAGGGGTAGCAGAGAGCAGAGAAACAAGCAAGACCTTTTTCTTAGCCAAACAAATCTGGATTCAGATTCCATTTGCACCATTAATTGTATGACCTCTATAAGACTTGGTTTGGAAATGTCATTTGGACAGAGGGAATGATGATAGTCTATTTTACAGAGTCATCAGAGATTAAATATACTTTTAAACCTAAAGCACATAAAGCAGCCACAGATAGTAAATTTTCAATAAATAGTAATTCCTGTTTTCTCTTTAAATATTTGAAAGCTGTCATAAGGAATAGTGCATACATTTGTAGTCTCCATTTGCATTACACTTGATGAGAGTCAGAAGAGAATCAAGGCCAGTTGCTGAGACCTCCATGAGTGTAGAGAGGTTTTTAGCTCAGTATATGGTTGAGTATTCTGAGTTTTCTAAAATATTAATGAGCTGTCAGAGGTGGTAATGCATTTCTATTACAACAGTTACTCTCTATAACTGAAAAATCACATTTCCAAAGTGTTGTAAAGAAGATGGATAGGTTGGGGCACTTGGGTGGCTCAGTGGGTTAAGCCTTTGCCTTTGGCTCAGGTCATGGTCTCAGGGTCCTGGGATCAAGCCCCACATCAGGCTCTCTGCTCAGAAGGGACCCTGCTTCCCCCTCTCTCTCTCCCTGCCTCTCTGCCTCCTTGTGATCCCTCTCTCTCTCTCTCTCTCTGTGTCAAATAAATAAAATCTTTAAAAAAAAACAAAAAGAAGAAGAAGAAGATGGATAGGTTGGATAGGCACCAAATAGGTTGTATTGTGTTTTTACAGGACTTTCAAGTTCAGTGTTCCTTTTTCCCAACGTGGACATTATGTGACTTTTATACTATTTAAGTTATCTTATTCCACAAATATTATGTTCAACTTTAAGTAGAAGAATTAAGACGCAAAAGAATCACGTTTCTCCCAGCTATTTCATACTGAACTTACATTGGTGAAATAGAGTCAGTTCTCTGGTGGATTTTAATCAGTGAAGATAGCTGATCTAATTAACCCCTTAAACTAATTTGAGAGATTCCCTTTTTCTAATTTATTAACAAAACATGTAGGTTAATAACAGAGGTGATATAGATAAAATCCAGCTCTTTTCCAGGCCTTTTCTAGTCATAGTCCATAAAATACAACTTTGAAAGTGCTTTCAAAGTTATCTTAAAAGGGGTACCAAATCCTAAGGCAATGAAATGTTTATATGAGTACTTTTAGTTTTATAGTGCCTGTTTTTTTTGCATTTTTAAGAGCCCATTTTTTATGTTTAAAGTGAAACATGGTATTTGTCTAGCTGGAATGCTGACATCCCAGCTCATGTCATCTGTGATATGAGCAAATGAGAAAAGAGTCAAGAACTTTATCAATTTTTAGAAAATATTAATTGCAGAAGCAGATGAAGGGGAAGTGAGAAAGTCTGCTACAACCATTTTATTCTGGTCTTTTAACCAAGGGGGAAAAATGCTCTGGACAATGTGCCTTCCAGTTGTTTGTCTTTAAGTGTAGTTGTCTAGTAGTGCCTAAGACTATGTCAGGCTGACCTTCGACGTTGGGGCTTGCGTTCATGATTCACTGATGACCGCACATACTAGTTCCCTCAGGGAATGCTAATGGTAGTTGAATTGGTGGTCGTTGTGATGGAATAGCCATCCTACAAAATTAGGTACATGGCAGTTGGACACCTTGCCCTTCTAGAGTTACTAGTTTAAAGCTGAGCTGCATGACCTTGCTGGGCTTCAAACCACTGTACAGCATCAGTTCAATGAGGATGGGTTGGTACATTTAAGTAATTATGTGATTTGCTGTTTTTTGCTCTTTTATGCCTTGCTTATGTACTAATTTATATCAACACAGTGTAGACCACAATTTATAGGTGAATAGAAAAGCAAATTGAAAATAAAAGATTTATAAAATATAGACACTTGCTTTCAAAATTTACCTTAGGATGGAAAGCCTTTGGTTTTTGGAAGGGAAGTATTATGTTTCAAAGTGAAACTTTCGAATGGAAATAATTTACTCCTTTTTTATTTTGTCAGTTTGATTTTGGTGTTTATGCAAATGTTATTTGTAATACCAGAGTAAGAAACATTTTTCTCTTCTTTGTTTCCCAGTAGATTTAGTAAATTGTGGAACTGATAGCCACCATCTGTTTAATCTGTAATCAGTTTTTTGGTTTTTTTTTTAAAGATTTTATTTATTTGACAGAGAGAGATCACAAGTAGGCAGAGAGGCAGGCAGAGAGAGAGGGAGAAGCAGTCTCCCTGCTGAGCAGAGAGCCCGATGTGCGGCTCGATCCCAGGACCCTGAGATCATGACCCAAGCCGAAGGCAGTGGCTTAACCCACTGAGCCACCCAGGCGCCCTGTAATCAGTTTTTGCTTAAATATCTATCTGATGAGAAAATATTTGTCCCAAACTGGTATCTTCTAGAAGGTATACAATAATAAAACTCCTTTCGTTTTAAGTTCTCAGGACCTTTAGATGAAAATTTCTATACAGAAGATTTTTACTTCTTGGAAAAAATGACATTTACTAATTTAGTAGAGAAAATTAAAGGCATTGTTGAAAATATGGAAATCAGTTCAAAGAAGTAAGTATTTAAAATCATAAGAGCAATTCATTTTGGGGGGATGCTATTTTGCATCTTATTTTTTCTCTTTAAGATTAGAAAGTGTTTCAGATATGTACATAAGCTGTAATAAGAGGTATGTGGAGAATATTGAAAAAACAAAAAGCATCCATATACTCCCCACCACCAAACCGTAGATAACAATAGTTTGTTTTGCTTGCTCTGGATCTTACTGTCCTCTTTGCTTCTCAGCCCCGCCAGCCCGTCTCCATCCTTCCTGAGAGGTAACCATTTTCCTAAGTGTGTGCGTGATCCCAGGTTTGCGTTTATGCTTTTGCTTCTTCCGTGGATGTCCGTGATCAGTGTTGATGTGTTGATGCCCGACTTCTACAGAGAAATGCTGTTTACTGTGGCTTCTTTGCACCTTCTCCTGGAGCTTTCCTCCGTTTACGCACGTAGAGCTAGTTTCTGCTTTTCACTTCCTTCTTAGTGTTTCATTTAATGCATATACTATAGTTCATTTATACAATCCCATACTGAGATACAGTTAACTTGGCTGTAGTTTTTTACTGGGTCAGCAACGCTGTAAGGAACGCGCTGGAAGTGTCTGCTTGCGCGGTGGGAGTTTCTCTAGAGCACAGGCATGTTGCATTTGGGGCGGAGGGTCTGTGCGTCCTCTGCTTCTCCACATACTGTTAGTAGCTGCAGCAGTTAACACTCCCACCAGAAACGCGAGAGCTCGTACCCCAGTTCTTACCAATACTTGGTGTTCCCCCACTTGTTAATTTTTTCTATCTTGTGGTTGTGAAATTGTGTCTTTTTTTAATTTGCATTTCTTTGACTTTAAGTAAAGTTGAGTGTCTTTTCATACGATTATTTTCACTTATGTTTACTTTTCTGTAAAAAACCCACACGTGTCTTGCTTAGCTCTCTGTCGGGTTATTTTCTTTTAATGATGTCTGAAAATTTTCTGTGATTCTTTATACTAATCTCCATCAATTATATGTGCCTCGTGTATTATATCACAGTTGGTGACATGGCTGTTTACTTTTTTATTGTAATTTTTTACCAGATACATAGATGTTTTTTATTTCAATATGAAAATATTATTAGTTTTTTTCCCTTCACGGCTTGTCTGTGCTCTGCTTGTGAACGTGTGTGTGTGTGTGTGTGTGTGTGTGTGTGTGTACAATGTATAAGAATTTTCTCTAGTCTAAATTCATAAAGATGTTCTCCTTTATTTTCTACTAGAAGTTTTACAGTTTCATTTTTTTACCTGAACGATATTTTCAATTCTTCTTGGCTCTTTATTCTGTTCCAGTAGTGTACTGTCTTGTGCCAGTCCCACACTCCAGTTATCCCAGCTCTGTAACGAATTTTGATACTAGATAGCAGAAATTCTGCCTTTTCTTCAAAATTGTGTTAACTGTTTTTGGCTACTTGTTTTTCTGTATAAATACGATTAGGACCAATATAGCAAAAAAAAGTTCCTGGAATTTTTATGGGAATTTCTTTGAATTTATAGATAGATTAAGGAGGATTGCCATCATTATATAATATTAAATTACCCACCTATTACATATAGTCATATATTGCTTGTATATAGCTATATAAATGTATAGTACATTTTATATATACAGTTGTGTATATAATATAATATATAAAATAATATAGGTATATAACTGATGTATATGGTATATAATTGTAGGATATGATTTATATATAAAAATATATATGAGAATACGTAGGTAGATGGTTAGACACACTTAGTGTTCCTTGTGGGTCCTTCAGTGAAGCTTTCACCTATGTCCCATGAGGTCTTACACATGTTTTTTTATTTATTCCCTTACACTTTATGCTTTTAGTTCATATTGTAAATGGTGTATTTTAAACTGCATTTTCAAATTGTTTAATGCTAAATTACAGGAACAATATTACGTTCTACATTGATCTTTCTTGCTCAACTCTCAATTTTTGTAACATTTTGTCTACTATTAGACTCTCATGTCATTTGTGAATTTTAACAGCTTTGTTCCCTAGCATCCAGCTTTTAAACTTCTCATTTATGTTGGCTTTTCTCTTGATTTAGTTTGCTTAATTTAGTCAAAGATTTGTCTATTTTATTAGACTTACTTTTACTTTTGCTTTTTTACTTTTCATATATGTGGACTTAGGACATGCCAAGCTCCTAATTGTTTTTTTTTTTTTATCAGTTTCAGTTCTTTTTATTTCTTTTTAATCTATTCTGTTTTATAAACTTCTCAATTTGAATTCACAACTTATTAATATCACATTTTCTCCCTTACATATCCTTAAATTACCAGCTTAAAGCATCTCTTACACTTATTTAGTTGTATCACCTAAGTTTTAAAATATATTTCATTATGATTCAGTGCTAGTATGTTCAAATTTCTGTGTTTTTTTTTAACATTTGTTCATTTTTTTTAAATGTTTTGAAATATTTGTAATTCTTGGCTTCATCAAAGCAAATCTGTGGTCCATTTTATTGTTTTTATCTTCTTTATATAGAATTATACCTAGATCTTGTTAGACATCTAGTAAATATTTATTGAATAAATAAATGAATAAGATGTGCTGCAGATTTTTTAAATGGCACAATGTATAAATGATTTCCAGTTTGTTTTGAACTGTGATTAGAGACCATGGTTTGTGAATATCAGTTATTTATTATTTATTTCTCTGAATTTTGTGACACAAGGTTCATTCTTATCATTGTCCCATGCCTCATTTTTTTAAAGGGATATTCTCTAATTGTGAGGAGGATTTTATACATGTCTATTATATTGAACATGCTAGGTTTTTTCCAGCCATCGAAATACTGAGTACCTTGTTTTATCTGTCAGTTACTAAAAGAAGTTCGTGGAAACACTGCTAGAATCATGAATCAATCATTTACTTCTTATAACTTTGTCAATTTTTGTTTTAAGTATTTTGAACTATAGTCATATATACCCTGATTCAGGGTATATTTCTAGTGAATTGTTCCTTTTGTCATTATATAAATTACTCCTTTCCTAATAATTATTTTGTTGTAAAGTCAGTGGCATCTTATATTTTAGCCAGATCAGTGTCCTTTTGGGTTGTTTTTCTGTTACATCTTTTTCTGTTCTTTACTTCAGGCTTCCCCAGTGTCTTGTAGCATACAGCTAGGCTTTGAGGTGGTTCTTGCCAGACCTCAAAGTTCTGATTCTTCCTCTTGAGTACAGAATTCTGATCCAGATGAATAGATGTCCTTTACTTACTCTATCATTTAGGAAGTAATTAATCAGTTAGGAAATGATGTTCACATAGAAAATTATAAATAAAGTCATGAAGCAAGGGCTTTTCTACAGTAAAGAGATAATATCCAGTTATTTTCAAGTAGAAAATATATGGTTATTATTATGTTATTATATGTTTATTATTATACATGTTTATTAGGTGGCCATTAAGCAGAGTCCTACATGTCAGAACCTGGTAGTCCAGTAAAAAATGATACAGTAGACACAGGTTCTCAACCTACTCAGAATCTAAATTTCTTTATAAAATGGAAGTGCTTATTCTTTCTTTTCTTTTTCCTCTTCTTTCCAAAAACTTGTCTTAAAATTCAGCCAACATTTTCTGCCCCAGTGTATCAATGAACATATAATACATTTCCTCCATCATAGATTTTCAAATTTGGTTATATTTAATCTAGGTATTTGTCTTATACAGTTTTAATTAATTTTCAAACTGATTTGTGGCCATAGAAGTCTGGACTTCTTAATTATATTTAAAGCTCCTCCCCTTTGTGGTTCTTCCAGCTCTTTCTTTCCGATGTGGGCCCCATTGCTTGGACACATGACCAACACTCAGCAAATATTGCCTTGAATTGAATGATTCACCATATGCTACAGACACTGCTGAGAACACCACTTAGAAGTGTTTAAAGATCATATCAGTGATAAGGAAAAGCAGGGTGGTTTTTAAAGTAACAGTCATCTTACCTTAAACTGACAAATTACTAACAAGTTTGGAAGAAAAGTTACTTATATAAAGCTTGTCTATTGGAGATATTTTAAATTAAATTTCTGTTTCTCAGAGCATTTATGACATGAAATGTGGACCTTTCTCCTTTGAAAAACTCACACATTGTCTTGTTTTTCTAGCATGAGTGACCTTGTTATGAAAGTTGATGCCCTTCTTTCCTCTTTGCCTAAACTTGCATCTCGCCATGATATCACATTTCTGAGAGAGAATCACAGGTAAGAACATAATAGTGTCTGCCTTTTTTCTGTCACGGTGTCCCATACTCAATTACGGTTTCCATTTGTATTTAAAGTACAGCAAAATTTAAAGTAGAATTAAAAATTGTTAGAGAAGAAATGTCTTTGATGAGATTAGGAAAATAAATTCCAGTTAATTATATATTCTAGCAAATAAAGGATGATGTGTAAGGATCTGAAGCTTCAAGTAAATTCTATCTAGTATAATTTGTTTAATTATCTTTCTTGTTCAAGATCATTTGGGATTTTTGTAGTATCTTGGGATTATCATTATATATAAATAATATGTTTATATTCTCAGTGTGTAGAAGATTCAAGTTACTAAAGAATTCTGATTAATAAAATGTAGACACGGGGACGCCTGACTGGCTTAGTGAGAAGAGCAAGTGACTCTTGATCGCAGGATTATGAGTTCAAGTCCCACACTGGGTGTAGAGATTACTTAAATGAATAAATAAATAATAAAATGTAGACACGTACAAGATAGTGTCCAAGATGTGTTCAGTGGAACGCTACCCTGAGATACTGACAAATGTATTCTGAGAGGAAAACTGTTCTCTGGTCAAGTAAGTAACTTTAGAGAACACTGCATTCTTGGGAATAGGGAATGATTTCCAGTATGCATCAGTATATTAACAGTTATGAAATATGATCTACTTAAAGGTGAAAGAAAAATTCGTTTTTGGTTAATTAGCAGTTGTGCAACTTATTTATCCATGGAAAACTTTTTGGTTAAAAATTTATTATTTTGTGAAGATTAGATTTCCGAAAGCAGCCCTCAGAGAAATACTGTTTTGGGGTAATAAACTAGTGCGTAATTTCACTATATTATACAGTTACTCTAAGATAGTCGAAATGAAATTCACCAAGCTCTGTCTACATACATACAATTTTCTGTGTCCCCAGAAGAGAACCTTTTCTGTTGTTTTTAATTAAGGACCACACAGAATTGGGGAAAAGATAGACATCAAATAATTAAACTATAAGCATGCTTTATTATATGATCTTTTTTCTAATCACTGCTCCTATAAAACTCAATTGAGACAAATGGTTTAGCCCAGACTCGCAGTGGCTGGCACTTTCTTGTAAGCCGGCTGGTTTTATGGCAGATGCCGTCTCAGGTTGTCCATGTGTACCTCCAGTGGTGACACCAGCTTCAGCCGCAGGACGTCTGTCTTTAGAGAGGTCTTCACACACAAGCAGGAGTAAACTCAGCGAAGATTACTTTCTAAAGAAAGTAGCACTGTTCGAAAGGAAGTGTTACTGTTCTCAGATAACTGAGATTCAGTACTTGTATTTTTAATAAACACATCTGCTGGAATTCCTAAGGATGATTTGTTATTATTATTATTTTTAATTTGACAGAGAGAGAGAGATCACAAGTAGGCAGAGAGGCAGGAAGAGGGTGGGGGGCAGCAGGCTCCCTGCTGAGCAGAGAGCCCAATGCGGGGCTCGATCCCAGGACTCTGAGAATATGACCGAGCTGAAGACAGAGGCTTAACCCACTTAGCCACCCAGGCGTCAACTTCTTTGACTCCTGCATACCACGTGCTGGAATAATTTAACACAGATTGCTCAAAACCGTCATTGTAAACATTAGTCACTAGATTGTTCCATGATGCTATATTATACTTGGGAATTTTGATACGTTTGGAACTTATGCCCATGTTAAATGTCTGATACATTTGATCTTTTATAGTTTTATTGTTGGTTGGTCTCGACTTTCTTTACCTGTCACATCTGTCAATGCATCTGCTGCTTTTAAGCCTACTGCCTTCTTTTATAAAGGTGTAAGAGTATGATGCTACTTTGTGACACTGGTCTATAGTTCCCCCAATTTCTTCTGTTATCTCTGGGGCATTACTATAAATACAAATGGGCGTGTGGCCTGTATGTATTGGCGTGCCTCTATTTATACAATATACATCCTCATCTAATAATGCCTGCCTTCTGAAACTTGCAGAGTCCGTCATTTGCCATTTTCTGAGCTTATGAGTATAATTTAGGCATTCAGCCTTTTTTTCTGTGTTTACCCAGGTTGATATGTTTATCTCGATCAGCATGGGTTATATGGTATAGCATGAGCTTTCTTATCCAAAACACCCAGTTTTTGAATCTGTTACCATAGCCCTGGGACCTCTCATTGCTTCAGTTTCTTAATCTATAAAATGTAGTGTTGATTCCCACCCTACAGGGGTTTTATGAGACTCAGACCTACTGCCTTGAATATAATAGATAATTAATGCTTTGCAGCTGTTATGTGTATTGTGTGTATTTGTTAGACAAATAACGAAACATGGAAATCAGAGAAGGAAGATTGGACCTGAAAATTAAACCACAAAATCAGCTCACATTAATCTGGGAGGACACAGGTGAATACCCACCTTAAAAGTAGGACGCAGGCCAGCAAAACTTAGCCATAATCCAACTGATGGTATTAATGAAGGAAGAATGACTTTGTTGGATTTGATTTGTGTTGGAATTGTAGGAAAAGTAGAGAGAAGCACATTAGCAATGCTGGGCTGTCGGCTCAGGGCTCAGCACCGCAGAGATGCTGCTGGTGTGTGCGTGTGTGTGAGCGCGCATGCCTATACCCACGTACGAGTGTGGGGGTGTGCAGATGAAAACAGATAGATTTATAAAGGAACTGTTGGAGGGTTTGCCCTTATACAGTTTTGCGAGCTGGTGAAGCCCCTCTAAGGCTGTTGATACTAGAGCTTGGAGCTCCCAGGGCAGGCGGGAAGGAAAGGGGGCTGTAGGGAGGGGTGGCCAGCCTTTGTGCCTGCCAAGACACACCCCAAATTTAACGGTGAGTTTTCCAGTGTACATGGGTCTCAGAGTTCACAAAAGAAAATAAATGAGTTGTCCAGGTGAAATATAACTGTTTTTAGAAGAGAGAGGACACTGAAATTTCTCTGAGAAATCTTCACAGAGGGAATACTACAGGAGGCATAGTGTTTTCAACAACATCTTTAAAATAGGTGGTTCGACCTGTCTTTATACAGAAACTGATCATTTAATTCAGTAAAACAACTCTGCATGGAATGGATGGGATATTGGCTGAGTGGCAGCTTCCCATTGCTGTGGCTGGTTCGAAATGTCCTTAGTTTCTCTCTAAGACATGACAGACTGCATGTACCTCAAGCTGTCCTTCATGTCTTTCTCTGACTTAAGCTTTTAATAGTTATTGACTATCTGTGTACTTGACGTTATTCTTCCTGGGTAATGGCATGAAGTGTAGCAATAGTTTCTTGACAAATTGAATACAAATCCATTGCCTTAAAAGGGTGGTATAGGTAGAGTTGGCATCTTTTTGTTGATATTGTGTGAGGAAAGAGACCTCCTACTTCCATTTTTAGTTGAGTCAATGCAGTACCTCCTGATAGGCTCAGGACTCTGTTCAGAAAATTGTCCTGAGTCTCCACCAATGCACGGAGAGGTAGATGATGGGCACGGTGGGGTTCTGATACATGCAACCTCACAACATTGGCAATCATTGGAGTAAACAGATGCCTACTTTGGCCACCAGAACATCTCATAAAGCATACAAAAGATGCCTGGTTTTGAATAATGCTGCAAGTATGGCAGTAATTTGTAAAATTTTCACCAGGATAATTGAAGTCATTAACCATTGAGGATAGGCCCTTTAATTTTACAACATCTGATTTGTAACCCTTACGTCTAGCAGTCGTCACATAGCAGGATCTGTTGTCCGATTCTGTCACTCCTATTTTAACTAAATCAAGTCATGTCAACTGCATAGAAAATAAAATGTCTTCTGTTTCTTTCTCAGAGGACCCATATTTGAAGTGACTTTTGCATTAGCTTTTATTGCTGAGAAATTAACCCCCTCACTGCAAAAGTCTAGTTATTTATAGTCTTCCTACACCAAAGAAGACTAATGTCCCTGTAATTTTACAGGTATCCATTTTGATTTGGAAATCTTTTTCCCTTGTAATATGTAAGATATTTAATTCATACATCTTGAAAAACTGACTTCCTGTATTACAGTGTTAAAATAGTAATTCAGTTGGAATATTCTGTACTTTTAGTCAAATATATACTTTTAACTTTGATTACAGTAAATATAGAATTTATTATCTTCCATTGGCCTTTTCTATGCTTTTACTAATTTTCGCAACATCAGTAAAGATGAGTGTATCCTCTAACTTAGAATTTAGTTCAGTGAAAGACACGAGGAAGAAGACTGAGGGGAGGAGGTCAAGAGAGGGTGACTGGCGTAAAACTAAGTATGATAAATTTGAGATTTTTTTTCCCCCAAAACTTTCCTAATATATGTTGGGATTTTTTAGATCCTAAGTTTAATAAAACTACTGAACAGTTGTTTTATTCTCAAGTCTGAGAAAATACAATCAGCTAACACAAAACTTACCTGGGCTTTATTTTTTAATATTGTATGACCCATGAGAACTTAAAGGGGGGGTGCTTAAAATTAGTTTTCACTCTAATACTATTGTTCTTTAAAGAGTTTTTAAAAATGACTCATTCATAGAATCTTACTTTAACTTTCTCTGATTCTTTCCAGTTTTGTAATTTATTGAACACAAACAGTAGGCTTTTAAATTTGCTTTTTCCAGGGCATCTGGGTGGCTCAGTGGGTTAAAGCCTCTGCCTTCAGCTCAGGTCATGATCTCAGGGTCCTGGGATCAGGTCCCGCATCCGGCTCTCTGCTCGGCAGAGAGCCTGCTTTCCCCTCTCTGCCTGCCCTTCTGCCTACTTGTGATCTCTCTCTCTCTGTCAAATAAATAAATAAATAAATTTGCGTTTTCCAGAGTGGCTGCACCAGCTTGCCTTCCCACCGTGAAAGAGGGCTTCTTTGCATCCTTACCGATATCTGTTGTTTCCTATGCTGTTAATTTTAGCCATTCTGACAGGTGTGAGGTGGTATCTTATTGTAGTTTTGATTTGATTTGACATACACACAGGAATATTTTTCAGGCATCAGAAAGAAAGAAATCTTGCCATTTGCAAAGATGTGATGTGGTTGGAGGTAGAGGGTGTTATGCTAAGTGAAATAAAGCACTCAGAGAAAGACAGATCCTGTATGATTTCACTCATATGTGGAATTTAAGAAACAGATGAACATAGCATGGAGGGAAAAAAAAGAGGCAAACCAAGAAACAGACCGAATTATAGAGAATACACTGACAGTTTCCAGAGTAGAGGTGGGTGGGGGATGGGTTAAATTGGTGATGGACATTAAGGAGGGCACTTGCTGTGATGAGCACTGGGTGTTGTATCAAAGTGTGGAATCACTCAATTCTGTACTTGAAACTAGTAGTTGCATTGTATGTTAACTAACTGGAATTAAAATAAAAACTTGGAATTAAAAATAAATTTGCATTTTCATCTATGAAGTAATCAGGATTTTTCTTAATCCAGTGAGAAAGAAAGCAATTAATAAGAATGCATATAGCTCAAGTGTGCCTGGCTGGCTCAGTGAAGCATTTGACTCTTGGTCTCAGGGTTGTAAGTTCAAGCCCCATGTTGGGTATAGAGATTACTTAAAAAAAAGAGGGGGGGGCACCTGGGTGGGTGGCTCAGTGAGTTAAGCCTCTGCCTTTGGCTCAGGTTATGATCTCAGGGTCCTGGGATCAAGCCAAGCATTGGGCTCTCTGCTCAACCGGGTGCCTGCTTCCCTCTTCTCTCTCTCTGCCTGCCTCTCTGCCTACTTGTGACCTCTGTCTGTCAAATAAATAAATAAAATCTTTTTTTTTTTAAAGGAATGTATATAGCTGAGATTAAGTCTTATTAGATAATTAAATAAATTTAACTGATCATCTTTCATCTTACTTTCTGTTTTCCTAGCATTATAACGATAAATCCTGAAGAGAATGACATGTTCTTTGATGTCATTGCTATTGTTGATCCATTAACAAGAGAAGCACAGAAGATGGCCCAGTTATTGATTGTAAGATAATATATTTTTATTGTATATTTTATATATCATTTTATTACATACCTTCATTTTGAAATTCATAATCTTTCAGGTCTGTTTTTAGGTATTTGTGCTCTCAATGCTTTATTCCGTGCAGGTTTTAATTAGCGTGTCATATTTCAATGTAGAAAATGAAATGGTAGAGCTATGCCAGGGGTGTTATGGCAGTGCCAAGGTTAGGTGTTGGTGTGGACTTAATTATTGTCTTCTGCCTCCCCCTGAAAGTTGTGTGTTGAAGCCCTAAACCCTACTGTGACTATATTTGGAAACCGGGCTTTTTAGAGGGTAAATAAGGTTAGATGAGGTTTTATGGCATGGGCCCTAATCCAATAGGATTTATAGCCTCACAGAAGAGGAAGGGAGAGAGATCCCTTTCTCTTCTCACACACAGAAAGAAGAAGTCATGTGAGTGCACCACAACATGGCGGCTGCCTAATTCCCCTCTTCGTCTCTCCAGTTCTAAAGAATGGCTTCTGGAGAAGCCGGTGATCTAATAAGTAATGATAGCCGAACAGTGAGTGAAGGCTGTGTTCAGGAAGTCTGGCCACAGGAACAGTGGCTTCAAGACTGGAGTTTATTTCTCATCTCACAGTCCAAGCGTAAGCCACCTGGAGTAAAGGCAGCTCCACAGCGTGAGGACACAGGCGACTTTTGTCTGGTGGCTCGGTCATCGTCAGGAAGCTCCTCTTGTCTCGTGATCTGAGATCACTCGCTAGGCTCCTCCACGTCACCTCGGTGTTTCTGCGAGCAGGAAGGGGAGCACAAGGGCATATCCGTCCGGTTCCATGTCATGGGCCAGAACATAACCAGTCATGCAGCTGTACCCGGACACTGGGGGATGGGTGGGGGGACACTGGGCATAAAGCTGAGTGAACGTTGAGAAAGCAGAGCGAAGGAACGCTGAGGGGAGCCAGCCGACTCTGAAAGGACATTATGTGCCTTTTCATTATACTGAAACCTTGTGATGTTCACATTGTGATGCAGCTTTCGGTGGGTAAATCACGAAAGCTCGTTATGCTGGAAATCTATATATTTCTTCTAGTGATGTTCAAAATTGTGGGGTACTCCTATTTGAAATTGTCCATGCTTTTTTTAAAGACACATTTAAAAAAACATTCTCAGAAGTGGAAACCGTTTGTCCTCTGACAGTTGGGCTCACTTTTGGAAACAGGCAAAAATAATTAGGCATTAAGTCTGCTGGACGATGTGAGGGATCAAGCTGGGTCATATGGGTAGACATGCTGGCGGAATTTCAACCTGCAGTTTCTCTCAAATGAGTTTGCCCTACCAGGTCATGATGGACAAAGGGATTATCGATAGCTCTTACAATTGTTTGGACAAATAATTTTGCAAAGTCTTTGCCATTCTAGTCATTCAGTGTATAACCAGGGCGAACAGTTCCATAGTTGGTTTACTTACCCCCATTCTTTCTTTTGCCATTTGTACACCTTCACACTTGAACTTCTGGAGACACACTATTCAGATTATTCTTTAAGAAAACAGCAATCAGTAATCATACCTGTAAGGAGTGGAGCTAGATCGATACATTACAGTGTACACATACCCCGTTTCCACGGAGTCGTTATTCAGAAAAAACATTGCTTACCTCTGAAGATTTTATGTAAAGATAGAATTTAGGAATAAGAATAGGAGATTATACAGAAATATAAAATACAGGACTGAGGATGCCTGGGTGGCTCAGTTAGTTAAGCATCTGCCTTCAGCTCAGGTCATGATCCCGGGGTTCCAGGATCGGGTCCCACATCGGGCTCCCTGCTCAGTGGGGAGCCTGTTTCTCCCTCTGCCCCTCACCCTGCTTGTGCTCACTCTCGCTTGCTCTCTCTCTCAAATAAATAAATCTTTAAAAAATAATAATAATTTTTAAAAATGGGATTGGATGCCAGGTTACATGACTGAAAATAATAACATTCTTTCAGAGCACCTCAATGCCTCACATTATTTATTATTTCTTACTATAAAGAAAATTCGTGGTATAAAACATAAATGAATTTATTGAAAGAACTGGATAGTGTCTCATTTAACGCTTGGGAGAAACAGTGGCTCAGCATCCTCCATTGAAGCAGGTGAGAAGAGTGATAGAATGGGAATCCGTGCTCTTCAAGCCTTTGTCTATCCTAATTCCTCCTCAAGCCTGCATCCCTTCTATTCCATGCACCTGTTTTTTCCCCTCTCTTTACCTGTGTCCTTTGTTGTCTAATATCTTTCAAATCTGTGTTGACTTGCCTTCCTAGAGATAGAGACTACCAAAATTAATAATCCTCCTATGTCATATGCCCCCGGGGAAATAAAAAGAGAGTCTTTCACCTGTATGTAGCCAGGAACTTCCTACATCTCTACCATGTGGATGGAATTCCGAAGGGACTGATACCCTTTCCATTGTTGCTGGGAGGCTGTCACTCTGTTCTTGCACATCATGCTTCTAGCAATTACTTCACTTGTCCTGTAATGCTAAAGAAATTTGGAAATGTGGATACCATGAAAGAAAGTCACATCAGGCAAAGGGAGGCAGTATAACCCTTGAGCCATGAAATTAGCTGTTTGGATTCAAATCTGACCTCTGCCATGACTTGCTGTGTGATCTTGGGCAAATTACCACATCTCTCTGTGTCTCAGCTGTAAAGGTATCAACCTGTGAAGGCTGTCGTGAGGATCACATGAGATAATGAATCTCAGGTGCGAATGCAGTGCCTAGTACATAGTAAATGCCTAATAAATGTTAGAAAAAAGATTACTTAATATCAAATATGGGAAATTTTTTTTCAAACAGGTACTTGGCAAGATTATCAACATGAAGATAAAATTGTTCATGAACTGTAGGGGTAAGCTTTCAGAAGCCCCTTTAAAGAGGTGAGTCTAAGCGAATGTCATTTCATTTCAAAAGCTTTGCAAATGCTAAGACTAAATAAATAAATAAATAAAGGACCGTAATTACTGGGTCTGGTTTTTTTCTTTGTAAGATGCTTGATTGAAATAGACCGGAAGATCAAAGATAATTTATTAACCTTAACTGATATAAAATTAAAATAACCTAAGCAGTAAAATTGATCCAGTCTAATTGCAGAATTTACAAGGGCTTATGTTTGTCGGTGGGTATTTTTGGAAATGTGATCTAGGAATACCTACTTGGAAATACACAAGAGGAAAATAAAGTTGAATCAAACCATTTTTGATTTAGCTGTAATTTCCTTTTTTTGTTTGTAAAGATTTTATTTATCTGGGAGAGCTGGGCATGAGCAGAGGGAGGGAGCAGGCAGAAGGAGTAGAAGGAACCAACTCCTGTGTTGAGCAGGGAGCCCAATGCAGGGCTCAATCTCAGGATCCTGGGAACATGACCTAAGCCGAACACAGATGCTTAACCGACTGAGCCCTCCAGGCGTCCCTGTTTAGCTATATTTTCAATACTTCAGAGCTGAATTATCAAAATGATCTTTAGGATATCATCTCATTATTTGGAAGTATTGGGATGTAAATAGTGTAAAATACTATTTCATTAATATAGAAAATGCTTATTGTAAGCCGACATTCCACTTTAATACTGTACTGTTGAAATAACATTGTCTCTCAAGTAGGGACAGAAATAGACCCTTCCTCCTCTTTCAGGATCAGAATCACTATCATTTTGGGCCACTCTTACTGAGAGGAATATACAGTATCCTTCAGATGTCATGGGACAGAAAAAAGGCTTGTTAATGTGCTTTTCTTTGTATAGCGTAATTACGTAGCTCTGAAAGAATATATGCAAACACAAGATAAGAAAGTTGCATTCACCTAATCCCTTGTTTGCTTATTAAATTGTATTTGTTATAATTAGGAAACATAGCAGAGATTATTGCCTTGAGCAGATATTTTAAACATGGCGAATATTTTTAATATTTGGAAAGCAATAAAATGGGAAATGTAAAGAATTTAGATGAAAGTATAGGGTACATTCATTCCTTTCCTGAGACTCCTGTTGTCCTATCTTATTCACATTGTTCTCTGACTTCTCATTTATCTCTTGTATTTGAGATGATAGCATGTCCCAAACCCAAACAAAAGCTGTCATCTAATTTTGGCCACTAACTGAGAGGTCGGTTAGCTCTGTAAGTAGAGAAGTTTTAGTCCTACAAGTAGAGATCTCCATAGTATCTCTATAAAGCTTTGGGTTGTATAATAAAGAGTAAGAATATTGAACATAAGCAAGTGCAATCTGTTAGGAGGGAAAACATTTGACCTCTGTAAGGTGGTGTGACCCTTAAGGCTTCGAGTGGTTAATGAGGCTGCACGGCACAAAAACTGGAAACGGGTCTGCAGCGGTGAGCTCAGAGGAGCATACTGGCTCAGTAGCATCTGTCAAGCAAACGAGATAACCATTGGTCCCCAGCCCTTTACTTTTTCTTTTCTCTTTCTAAATGTTTATTTCTTTTTTGTTCCATTTTACTTGATGTTTTCAGTGTTCCAGCATTTATGCACCACACCCAGTGCTCCATGCAATCCACGCCCTCCTTAGTACCCACCACCAGGCTCACCCATGCCCCCACCCCCATCCCCTCCAAAACCCTCAGTTTGTTCCCAGTGGGGCAGCGGAAGGGGGTGCTCTCTCTCCTCTTGCCAACCCTCTCTTTCTGCTTGAGCCCATGCTTCCCATGTGTTCTGGAGCCTGCCTTTATCACACAGTCCCTTTGCTCCGTATCTTTAACCTCTCTGCCAGCCCTTTCCTTCCTGAGAGTTTACTCAGTTTAAAAAGAGAAATAAACTGCTCTCTTCATTTCCTCTCCCCTGGAGCCCCGACTTTTTCTCCTCTTCTGCATTCTTTCTCTTCTCAGATTCTTCGCAGATTACTCACACACACACACACACACACTGCTCCCCCCTTCACTCTACCTCCCTCTGCAGCTTGCCTTTAACTTCCTCTCTGCTGCCGGATTGTTTTTACTAAGTCACGGACCTGGCTGTGGGCAGCAGCCAACTCAATGGCATTTCCGCCGCACTGGGCGATCCCAAGTACTCGTTTTGTCCGCGCGTTCTCTGGCCCGTGTCTCCTTCACTCCGCTGCCTGCAGTCGGCAGCTTCGGACACGGCTGCCAGTGATCACGGTCTCCTGGGGTTCATCCGCTCTGCGGCTGCTCCTCGAGCTTGGGCCGCTGCTAGTGATTCGCTTCTCATGGAAAGCACGTGGCGAAAGTAATGGAAAGTTTCTTGGGCAACTAACTAGGTTATCAAAGACTGCGGCTTGTGGGATGCTGGCATTCTCCATGTCTTGCTCTCCCGTGCTTCTCTGACCCAGCGACATGGAGGGGCCCCTGTGGCAGGGACCCAAGGGCAGTCTAAAGCCAGCCACCAGTGACCAGCCGCAGTCCTTTTTCCAGTGGCCCTGGAGGGGAGCCACACCGGCCTGGAAGTGGGTTCCCTGCCAGCCCAGCCCGGAGCTAACTACAGCGCAGCCGACCCCTTGACTGCTGTCTCCAAATAGCGGAAGTCATGATTCTTAATAACAGAGCTAATTCCTAAAATACACTAGAGCTCTGTTAGTAAGCCGCTGTCTTCAACTCAGTCCTGTCTGTTTTTAACTGAACTTTTACCAGAATTCTAATTTGCTTGAATTTAATTGCTTTCTGGTTATCATTTCTCTTCCTATGATGAGTGCTGCTAAGATCCAATGAAATGGCTGGAAAGTGGACCACGCTCGAATCTGAAGAAGGATTAGTGAGCAAATGCAGATCAGAAACTAGCAGAACCGACCTGAGTCAGTATATGTTAATCTAATCATGTGCGTTAAGAAACAATCACCAAGGGCGTATGTAATCTTAGGGAATTGTCCTCGTTTCCAGGCATTAACTCTTCTGCAGTATACTATGTTTTAGTTTTTTTTTAACTTGAGACTTTTGGTCATGTTTTTAAGCCATTTTCAATTTTTAAATATTTTAAACAGAAGGAATCTGAATTTTGGTCACCGTACGTATCTTTATTTATGTTCTTTTGACAGCTTCTATCGTTTTGTTCTGGAGCCAGAGCTGGTGTTGGTGGCTGGTGGCATTTCTGGACCCGTGGCGACATTCTTGGATATCCCTGAAGCCCCCCTTCTTACCCTCAACATGATTACTCCCGAAGGCTGGTTGGTTGAAACAGTACACAGCAACTGTGACCTTGACAACATTCACCTCAAGGATGTAAGTGGTCTTGTCAAGTTCTGTCAGGAGAGAGGAATGGGGTCGATTCTTAGCCCCTGTGACCGCAGCGAGTGCGAGGTCATGCTGTGGCTGCTCCCAGAATTGTCTTCCTTATGGTTCTAGCTCCTGATCTGGTCTTCCCTTTGATTTTTGAGTTTCCCTAACTTCCAAATTCAGCCACTCGAACTTCGCAGGTTCCTAGATGCTCTCGCTGGCTTTTTGGCTGCGGCCCCCGGGTTCTCAGGCGCTCCTCTAAGATGGACAATGTAGAGAATACAGAGCCAGAAACAGCAGCTTAGGACAACACTGGAAATACCTGTTTTGCCGTGAAATTTGGTTTTTAACTCTGAAAAGAGCATTTGTATCTCAAGCTCTGTTTTGCGCCACAGCTCATGGCCAGAGAAAGCAGCCCAACCAGGTAGAAGGCAGGGAACAGTGCTCGCTCACAGCTGCAGGCTACGTGTGCCGCTTCCCAACCCCCTGCTCTCCCTACCCACCCTCTACCCCACTACCTCCATCCCTACCCCTCCCTCCACCCTACCCCCTACCATCACTTCCTCCCTCCATCTCCATCTCAGCCTGATGATCCTCTGCCAAGAAATGAGGGCCCTTCTCTACCCTGCCTGTTGCATTCAGCCCACTGCCCTAAAAGGGGGAGGAGGCTATTTTAAAATACGAGTCTTTCAAAACACTGTATTCAGAAACCCCAAACAACAGAAGCATTTTAGAAGAGCTTACCTAGAGAATAGGTATCCAGAAGAGAGACCAAGGGCCTTCTCCTCAGTGTCCTCTTCATGCCTCTTTCTGCCTTGACCTGCTAATTTGGTTGAGATTACTCCCCATGTTTGTTTCTCGTATGCTAACTTTGTCTAAAGATTCTCCTTTGAGGAAGGTTTCTTCTGAGGCACTCGAGTAGACTGTGTGGTTTCTTGTCCCTTGAGTGGAACACAGCCCCTGGCAGCAGAGAAGGACCTAAAACTCAGCCATAGCCATTGCCAGACATGAGCCCTGCACATCCAGGGAAAGAATAGGAAGGCAAGAGTGCCTGGGTGGCTCAGTGTGTTAAAGCCTCTGCCTTCGGCTCAGATCATGATCTCAGGGTCCTGGGATTGAGCCCCGCATCGGGCTGTCTGCTCAGCAGGGAGCTTGCTTCCCTCTCTCTCTCTCTCTCTCTCTGCCTACTTGTGATCTCTCTCTCTGTCAAATAAATAAATAAAGTCTTTAAAAAAAAAAAAAAAAGGAAAGAAAGAATAGGAAGGCAGAAAAGTAATAAAATCCAGGAGGGGAAATTCAGAAAGGAATTTGGCGAAAAGTAAGAAGTCCTGTTTTCTCTGCAATCAGCCGGCTCCCTTGAAGGACCTACTGGATCCCTCATTCGGAGACTTCAGTGACCTATACCAGTCAAAGAGATGTACAGATTCCAGCCAAATGTAAAAAGTTTGTGGTGGGAGAGTTAACGCAGCTTAGAAAAGAATTAGATTGAGTGGCGAAATTTTCAGCAGCTATTAAACAGTTAATGGAGATGAACTGACCATTGTTTGCTATAGGTAACAGGTACAGAGTGTCTTTTTAGAAGCTCTTTTATTTATTGAAGTGGTCTTTACTCCCAGCGTGGGGCTCGAGCCCACAACCCCAAGATCAGGAGTTGGATGTTTCACCACCTGAGCCCGCCAGGCGCCCCTAGAAGCTCTATAAATGAACAGTACTTCTGTTTATTTTAGAGGGCCATAGAGAATTCTTTCTGTCTGCATAGATCATATGAATAAATGGAAGGAAATTGCAAGTTCTCACACCTGTAAGAGTTAACTACTTCCAAGACTCTTCTCTTCCACTATGTTCTGTACATACTTAGAATATTACCGCCATGGTCCTGGAAGACTGTGAACTAACAAAGTAGAGACATTTGCTGGGGTTGTAGGTCCAAAGGAAGGTGCACGCTGAAAAACTGAGGCTGAGAATGAGAGGTTTGTGACACACACTCTCAGGCAAGTCCTCCCTCGCTGCGTCCAATCCCTGGAGATCACATCAACACCTAAAAAATGTGATGGAGAGAAACTCTCCCTTACCGGGATACATCAATGCCATAATGAAGGGGGACAGAAGTAGCAAGAGGGAGATGAGCCCTTCCACCTGGAGTTCAGAGGTGGTTCTTTGCTGAGCTTATCCTGAGGACTGCATCCAGCTACCCCTCGGTTGTGTTCTATCACAGCCTAGATCTGAAAGATCTCAAAACACCTGAAATACTCGTGGATGTTTACCAAGGAAGAGGGAGTGAGGAATAAAAGGTTGTTGAAGGACAAAAGGATGTGGCTATACTAAAAAGGAAGTCATAGAAAACTTTATTAGCTGCTTCTGAAATGCAGTATGGTCGACTCTTGAACAACATGGGGGTCAGGGCCACTGATCCCTCCCCCACAATAGTCGAAAATCCATGTATAAATTTTGCCTCCCCCAAAACTTAAGTACTGATAGCCTGCTGTTGACAAGAAGCCTTACTAATAACATAAGCAGTCAATGAATAGGGTTTTTTTTGTTTATATATTACATATTGTACTCTTGGGAAATTCCTAATTTTTTAAATTCTTTAAGCGGGAGAAACCATGAAAATTCTTACAAAAAAGAAAATACATTTACAGTACTGTACTGTATCAAAAAAAACCCCACAGGTAGTGGGTCTGTGTAGTTCAAATCTGTGCTCTTCGAGGGTCAGCCGTAATCTAGACGCCCACTGCCAATGTAATTGTTAAAGAATTCCTATTTTAGCGCCATAGATAATTGTTTATAAACCCAAATGATGATCTTTATAATTAAACTTACACTTCTTTTAAAGGAAGGAACTAACTTCTGTACAATTTAACCACAGAACAATACAATAAACACTTCTATTAGAAATATTAATATACACCCAAAGTTCTATTTGAAAGGTATTAAATTCATGTCTTCTATCAACAGGTAATATTTAGAACAGCTATAATATGTAAAGGAGATGTAAACATCACAAAAAAATCACAAATTCCCAAATTTATTTGCTAAAAATAAACCTTGAGAATAGGAATGGATTTAACAAATTACCTTTATGAAATTATCAATAAACTTAAAATATTTTCACTAGAAAAAAACTCTTTGAAAAACGAATTGGCTATTTTTGGTGTTGTGGTTTGAGTCAGTCCACAGAATTGATGTCTGTTCTACAACTCTAGAGATGAGAGAAAGTTTCACATTAATATGAAATAAAGGTTTTTTTAGTCACAACCTGATTGAACATACTTTGAACTCTGCCCTAATATCTCATGAAGAAAAATATTTAAGCTTCACACCCACTGTGGGGTACATTTCCCTTATCTGTAAAATGAAGGAATGATCTAGAAGAGCTCTACAGCCTTTTTCACACTTGTAATATTCTCACATTCTGAGACTATCCCATGTGAATGTTTCCATCCATGCATGATGCTGTGAGCGCTGGGGACACAGGTCAGTGAAGTGTATGAAGCTCGTTACTAGAGTTCAACAGCTGATTCAGAACCCAACTAAAGTTGGAACAAGCGCTGTTGTCAAAGAAGGTACTTCTTTGTTCTTAAGAACTGGACTTAAAGAGGAATGCTACACACAAGTGTTAACATTATTTCTGTGGTAATTACAAAGAAAAGCAGCTATACAATATAGAATATTTTCAAATACTTTATATTCTAAACACATTTAAAAAGTGTCAGAAGCCTGTAATGAAATAAAATATAGATAGCATTACTGTCTTACCTGCTCAACAAAATTACCAAATTATGTAAAAATCACTTACCACTTGATTTATTCTCATGTCTGCTTATGTTTTTCCTATGAAGTAGAGAAAAAGTGTTATCCCTAAAATATTCTAACATTTGCAGTAGAGGAAAATCTGGAAACAATTGGAATGCCCAGCCATTTAAAAGGGTATTTGTAGAGACAGGGACATGTTCATAGAAAGCTGTATTTAATGAAAAAGCAGGTTACACTTTCTTAGAAAAATATTTATGGAAAAGAGAAAAAGATATCAGTGTGTTGATTGTACAGGAATGTTTAGTCTAAGTAATTGCTGCTTTTCCTCTTTTCCACATTTTTTATTTGCAAATTATTTTGATGAGCATGTGCTATTTTGAGTGCATTTTTTTTTTTTTTTAATTACAAGAGAGATGATGGATGATGATAAGTTGGCTTTCTTGCCACATTGGAAAGGGCTCTAGGGCGACAGCCAATGAAGCAGGTTTTCTGAGGAATTTCCCATCTCACTCTGCCTTGAAGAGATCTTCCAATACTCCAACTCCATGAGCTCTTCCGGCCTGTGATTCTGGTGCACAGATCATGAGGTTGGTGTAGAGCTGATGTCACAGGAAAGGAAAAAAAAAAACAACTTATCATGAGTTTTGATCTTTAAGAAATTGATTCAACTATTAAGTCACTCATGTAAAAGACTTGATGTTGTCTCCATAATACATTGGCCAATATTAAAATACTTCCATTTATTTATTACAAACTTTGAATTATGAGAGTTACTAATACCAAAAACAATGACCTGTTTTCCCATAGATTGAGAGAACTGTTATAGCAGAATATGAACTAGAGTATCTACTGCTGGAAGGACATTGCTTCGATACAATGACAGAACAACCTCCTCGGGGCCTGCAGTTTACACTTGGCACAAAAAATAAACCTGTTGTGGTTGATACAATAGTGATGGCCAATCTCGTAAGTATTATAAATACTTAATCGATTGTATTTAATTACATATTTTGGTGAAATCCTCTTAAGTTCTCCTGATAATAAGATGAAATTGATTTCATCCTGCTATTGCTGAACAGCTCCCAGAAAACAAAATTGAATCCTTAAATAAGGTAATTAAAATGGAGGGAATCATACTTTCATGATATTGGCAAATCTCCTTTTTGGAATTCATGTATAGAATTTATTCACTCCAGTTAGTTAACACTCTCTTGAGTCGTTCATGTAGAATCCTTTTTGAACAATTGGATGTTTTAGTCCTATAACTATCATCATATTTTTCTCATTCTGAAAGGGATATTTTCAATTAAAAGCGAACCCAGGTGCTTGGATACTGAAATTACGTGAAGGAAAATCTGAAGATATTTATCAAATAGTTGGGTGAGTGATATAAACCACTTCAAAATTTTTCATGTGTAAATTAAGTTTTTGATGTTTTGGCTAAGAAATGAGAGGCAGGGTGGTTTATTTTTCCTCTCCAAAAATTTGAATTATTTTTTCTATTTAGAATTTCAAGAAAAATAGGTATATGTCCTTTTTAAAAAATAATAATAATACTTCCTGAGATGTAGTGAATCCTTTCATTTTGGTAAATGGCTTTTACTGAGATACAATCTTCTCTCACATCTCATTGACTATGTAAAGTTATTTGAATTCTCCCCTTTTTTCTGGCAGTAATTCTAAGTGAAGTCCTTGTCCTCTGCTTGCTTGATTAGCTTAAGCTGTGACTGTACTTACGTATGCAATGAGTTTTAGTTGCTGAGCTTTACTTAGAAAGATCAAATAGTGCAGTTGGGAAGATCCAGATTGCCTGGGCTGTTGGGATCTAGGATGATAATTGTACCTGCCTGAAAGGGTGATTGTATGGGTCAAATGAGCCAACATCTCTAAAGTGCTTGAAATGGTGCCTGAAATAGAGTAAGAGTCTTCCTCGCTACTACCTCTACCATCTGGTTAGATGGAAGGAGTTTTCTTTAGATCTTGTGTGGGTCTTGCTACAATGTGTGTGACCGGGCCCTACCCCGCTCTCACTGGACAGTGGATTCAATGGCTAAAGTTGCTGATGTCCTTGAGCAACATTTATGACTGGAAGCTCTTGAACAGTTTAAGAAATTTGCCATTTCTAGTACATAAGTTGGAACCCTTTCCGTTTCCTAGTGGTAATTGGTGGGTGTGGCTGTGCCTTCTACTTTGGTTTAACTGCTTCAGCTGGGGAATTGGGAGAAAGAGGGAGTCAAAGGCATGTGTTAGTCAGCATAGTCCTATAACCCCTCCAATCTTCATCTTAGGAAAGTGTTCAGTGTGTGTTATGAATCTGACTAAACTCAGAGTACCTACTAATTTGACCTCTGATTGCATTCCCTCTTTGACAAAATTCAACTTTATCGTAAATGTTTTTAACAGTATTTTATGTATTTTTCTTTACATAGAAGGGTATCAAAAATTATTGGTCAGAGCTGTCATATTTGATTTGTTTATGCAGCTTTGAAGATTAGACAGTGAAATACATTATAATATAAAATATAAATATTCAAGTGATGCAGGTGACCATTTAGACACATTTTTGGTCTTAAAGGTTTAACAGTACACTTCAAATTTTGGTGTTTGAAAATGACTGCTGAATATTGAAAAGTTGTTGGACAGTATAGAATTCCTTCAATTATGATATATAACAACTTATTTTAAAGTCTCAAAAGCATTTCATATTAATTACTGTAATATATCAAAGACATATGATAGATTGACTTTTGTAATCTTGGTATATAGCAGCAAAGATAAGCATTAATTTGGGATTGCTTAGTGGTTAGGCAATATTCAATTTCATGAATTAGTTTTATACAATTTTAATTTGTATTAGGTTAAAACTGGGTAATTCTGAAAATTATAGTGTGTTATAGTATATCTTAATTGCAGAAGACAACAAATATATAAACACAGTGATGTTACGTTTATGCTTTTTGCATAATTTTGCAAAATTTTTTGCATAAATTTATTCTGTTATTTATACCATCATAATTACATGTCTTTTCTGGAGCTGATTGTGGACATCTACATGTTTTTCTGCTTTTAGGCATGAAGGAACGGACTCTGAGCCAGACCAGGGAGATGTCATTGTTGTGATAAACAGCTTCAAGAGCAAAATACTGGAAGTACAAGTGTGTGAGGCAGAAGCTCTTGCTATTTTGTTCTTAGTATTAAGAATTATCTTTTTTTACTCTTAATTGATTAATATTATTTTACAACTAATTTCGCAATTTTACTACCCAAAAAGTTATATTGGAACTCTGGCATGAAAGGAAGAAGAAGATTAAGTTCATGAAGGGAAGGCAGAGAGTTTGAAGATAGAAGAAATGGATCAACTTTTTCTAAGTTCGGATGTGTCTGTTAGATCTACCGTATCCATAGCCAGGTAGTGTTACAAATTAGGCTCTAGAGATGAGATCAGGAACACAGGCTGAAAAGTTAGCCCTGAAATGAAAAAGTGATGGTAAGTGATGTTTTTGAAACGTCTTAAAAGCAATGACAAAAATGACAAAAGCAGTAACAAAATAATAAGGATAACAAGGAGATGCAAAACCAAAATTAAAAGGAAAATAAGAGCCTAGTGAAGTAAGCAAGCACAGAAGCCTCTCTTGTCCTGAGAACATTTGTCCATCCTGGTATACCTGAACTTTTGATTTAATTTGCAGGGTGATTGGGACAGAAAGTAAAACCCTACACCCATATAAAATGGGTAGCCTGTTAGAAGACCTTCTCGGCAATAAGCTGGCTATAGCTTCAGGGTGAAGATGAATCCTAGTAAATTATTCCCAGTCTTTTAGCCCAAATTTGTTTTGTGCAAGTATCCAGGAAACCCCTGAGCCTTGAATTTGCACTAGACTAGTTCCAGATTGATGAGGTTGTGCAGAAGTTTGGCAGAAACATCTGTATATCTGTGAAATAAGATTCTATCCAAAAACATAGAGAAAACCAGCAGAAACAGCAGAAAGCAGACACATAACACACTCTCTGTATTAGAATTATTGACACTGAAACAACTGTGCTTACGATATTTAAAGAAATAAAAGAAAAGCTTGAAAACAATTGCAGGGAACAGAAAACTATAAAAAGTGCATATCTGATTTTTTTAAAGTAGAACTTCTGAAACTGAGTGATACAGTAACCCAAATTAAAAATTCAGTGGATGACTTTTACATGTCTAAAGAGAGAATTAATGAATTGGAAGATAGTATTCCTAATGCAACAGGGACATTTTAAAAAGAGGATAATGCAGCAGAGACCATAAAAGGCATAGGAAAGTAGAGTGAGAAATTAAAGATTTGGTATTTGCACTTAACCTGGCTCCACCACTTTCTAGCTGCATGACCTTGGACAGATTGCTTAGCTCCTTTCTGTCTCATTTTCCTCATCTATAAATTGTTGTTAATAATGGAACCTACCTTACATGTCTGTTATAAGGATAAGATAGTTTAGTTTGTAAAGTGCTTTGTGAGTATTGAATAATTAATATAATTTTAAATGGAGTTCCAGACAAAGATAGAAGAGGATGAGGTAAATGTGACATTGTGTGCCAACTATACTCATATTAAAAAAAGAGGTACGTTTAATATTTGAAGGAATAATGACTGAGAATTTTCATGAATTGATGAAAGATACCAATTTACATATTCAAGAAGTCCAGTGATTAATGAGTAAGATAATTAAAAGAAAATTCATACCTATTTTCTGATAAAACTGCAGAAAACCAAAGGAAAGAGAAATCTTTAGAGTAATCAGAAGGAAAAGGAAACATTACCTTCAAAGAGCTATAGATAGTCTAATCGTTGATTTCTCAGTAAGAATGAAAGCCAGGAAAAGAAAAAAAAAAAAAAAAAAAAAAGAATGAAAGCCAGAAGGTTCTGGAATGATATTTAAAAACACTGAATGAAAAAGGAATGCCAGCCTAGAATAATTTACCCTGAAAAGATATCTTTCAAGAGGAAGCATAAAATATTTTCAGACAAATGAAAAAAACTGAATTTGTCACTAGCACACTTACATTAAAGGAGAAGTACTTCAGACAGAAAAAAAAATTATCTCAGAGGAAACATTTGAGTTTTAAAAGAATGAAGAGAGAAGAAAATGGTAAATGTGTGGATAATTCTATGAACAGTGAATATATAAAACAATTTTAAGATCGTGGGAGGATTTTAAAAATAAATAACATTAAAAAATATAACAATAACATTTAAGCTGTAAGATAAACACTGTTGTTTTCAATTAGATATGAAATCTTATACTGACCTTATACTTACCAAGGGTAATGATTACTTTTAGACTTAAAGACAAATATAAATTTAACTTCTAAGATAACCGCTAAAAGCATAGAAACAAAGTATTAATGCCATAATGAAGAGGAAAAATGTAATAAAATAAATTAATGTAAATGGAATAAGAAAAAAGAAAGCAGAATATATGCGATATAAAGGAAGCACAAAATAATAAGTTAGAATTTCACTCAATTACATTAAATATGAATGGACTAAATGTTCTAATTAAAGACAAAGATTGTCCTAATGGGTTTTTGTCTTTTTAATTACAGCTATATGTTTTTTGCAGAAAGAACACCTAATACATAAGAATACAACTTTAGTGTGAAGATGAAAATAAAACTCAAGGTTGGCAGAAGTATTCTAGGCCAGTACTAAGCTAAAGAAAATTTGCATAGCTAAATAATACCAGAGATATTACACAAGACAAATAACGTTACTAAAGATAAAGTCATTTTACATATATGAGGCAGAAATAGAATTTCAAAGAGAAATTTAAAATTTTCTATCATGCTGGGATATTTTTTAAAGACTTTTTATTTACTTGAGAGGGAACACATGTGTAAGAGTTGGGGGGAGGGCCAGAGGGAGAGAATCTCAAGCCGAATCCCCACTGAGCATGGAGCCTGATGCAGGGCTCAGTCTCTGAGATTATGACCTGAGCTGAAATCAAGAGTCAGGCGCTTAACCAACTGAGCAACCCAGGTGCCCCTGGGATATTTTTAACACCCATCTATCAGTACCTGATATGACAAGCTGACCAAAAAATCAAGAGATAGAGAAGATGTGAACAGATTAAAAATTCTGACCTAGACACATTTAGAACACAGCACACACTAACACCAAATGAGCAGTCTTTCAAATACACAGAAAATGTTGATTAAAAATTAACTTTACATTTGGTTGAAAGTTTCAGTAACTTTCAGAAGAATGAAATCGTACAGAGTATATTCTCTATCTACAATGCAGTAAAGTATAAATTAATTTCCAAGGATAACTAGGAAATACTATGTGGTTGTAGTTTCTAAGATCCAATAACAATAGGCTAACAAAGCTCACACCTTACGTATTGGCCAGGTTCTAAACTACTGTATCACCAAATTTTACCTTGCATCCCACATCATACCCTATTCCTAATCATCTCTGTTCTTTATCCTGTGATCAGTTATACATGTTACTTACATTTATCTTTGATTCTCTTTCTTCTGTATTGACCTTGATTTTCTTTCTCAGTAGTAACACAGTCTCTCCTTGAATACATTTCCTTCTGGCCATTTCAGATGAAAAACCCCATGAAACCCAGACCAACTACTTCAGATACTAACTCAAGCCCACACCCTGTAGGAACAGTATTCCAGGTAGTTTTATGCTAGTCCTGTAAACAGGAGAGAAATACCATTTCTTCCAGGCTAGGAGCACGAAAGAACTTTCCATCTTTGAGCTATTTTGACCATTGAAAAGCTGCTTAAGTTCTCTTGAACTGAATTTTTTCACTCCGTGTATTGGTTCTAATTTGAGTTGTTGGTCTGTAGTACAGAACAGATTGAACTCTTTGAGTATAGCCACCAAATCTTTGAGGGTGGTAATCATGCCCTACCTGAGTCAGACCTTCTGCAGCCCAACCACTTACGTCTTTCAGCTGATTTTAATAACACATTTCTATCTCCTCACTATCCCTCTCTCACAATAACATAGAACAAGGGGAGCAGAGAAGATAACATTAAGGATCAGCCCATCAACCCTAGCAACCCACGAATAGGAATTCCACAGAGAAAGAACAGAAAATGGAGGAGGGAAGATATTTCACAGATAAGGAAAGAAAAAAATATTCATGTCAAAAGGGTCCACAGATTAGCATGAGTAAAAAATGGGCCCCATGAGACCCTAATAACTATCAAGGAAAAAAAGCAGGTCACAGCCATAGAATGACACTAACACTAGCATCAGACTTTTTGTTTTCAAGATGGCTGTTACAAGACAGCAAAACAAAGCCTTTATTGTTCTGAGGAGAATTACTTTGAAGCTAGGATTATTTAGCCAAATTCTTAATCAAATGTAAAGACAAAGTTATCTCCTGAAGGGTGAAGATTTAGAAAAATGATTTTTCATACCCTTTATTGAAGGTGTTTGCCATCCAGTGACAGTGAAGACCAAGAAAGAGGAAGATAGGTATTTTGAGAAATTGTGATATTAATCTGAAAACCAATGCAAAGAAAGCATTGAAAGAAATAGGCAGTTAATTGTTGAGCTCCAAGAAAAATATCTTCAAGAAAACAGGAATTCCACATGATGAACATGAGTAATAAACTGGAAAATATTAGCTAATGTGGCAAAGAAGAAATTTATATCACCACAAGAAAAAAAAAATGCAATAAAATTCCAAGAAAAAATATTTGTCTATTGGAGGAATGCAAGAAAGCAGAATCTATCTGAAATAGCAAGAGCCTCCCGTGAGGGGCACAGTGGTCACGTTACTGTCACTACACAGAGGTAATCCGGTGCTGGTGGCCTCACAGACTCTTGAGTGAATAATATTTACATTGTCACAATAAGCGCTATCTACTGAGTTTCAAGTTGTAGAATAAACATAGCAAAGTGCCGAAGTTATAATTAGGCTTTACCAAAGCAAATGTAGATATTATCTGTATTTACAATGCTAAAGTAAAAGTTGAGCTAATGTAAGGCGGGAGGTGGAGGGTAAAGGTAGAAATATTATTAGTATCCTTATCTTACAGAGTATACAAGAGAAATGTGAAGTTGTTGGTACAAAAAATATATATTTAAGTATTATTTGAAGCTACAAAGACACTGCGTAGAACTAATGATAATGTTATTACTGCCAAAACTTCCAGACAGAGAGGAAGAGTGATAGAAGTGAGCAGCTTATCTGTCATTAAAAAGAATGAAAAATATCCAAAGCCTGTGATTCCAGATATGCTTAGTAGATAATGTCTGAAGTTGATAAATCAGTAAATACAAGTATAAGCATATTACTTGGCAGTGTGGAGGTAACCACCAGAAGAACTACCAACAGGAAGCTGACCTGATGACTGAAACCAGATTGTGTCCGTAATGTCATACTTCCCTGGCTCTGTCACTGCACCTGTCTTAGAGTCACAGTGGTCACCGTGCCCTGAGTGTTTCATTTTTTAACCAACGCAGCGTAATATTTAAAGCTGCACAGTTCTGGGGCACCTGGGTGGCTCAGTGGGTTAAGCCTCTGCCTTCGGCTCAGGTCATGATCTCAGGGTCCTGGGATCGAGCCCCGCATCGGGCTCTCTGCTCGGCAGTGAGCCTGCTTCCCCCTCTTTCTGCCTGCCTCTCTGCCTACTTGTGCTCTCTCTCTCTCTCTGTCAAATAAATAAATTTAAAAAAAGCTGCACAGTTCTAAGACTTTCCTTTACTGTGTTATCTAGGTACAAAAGAAGCCAGACAAAATTAAGGAGGATATCCTTACTGATAAAGATGAAAAGAAAAAAGGAATGTGGGATTCCATTAAAAGGTAATTACCAGTGAATTTTTTTAACCTATAAGCATAGATCCATCAGGAATCTTGTATGTGGCAGGCTTGCAGATGGTACACATTTAAGTAAAGCATTGGTCCTCTCTCGTGGGATGAGATTGATACATAAAATGTTAATAAAACAGAATAGGAAACCAGAGCTGTGGGGCAGCTGAGAGTAGGTGCTCTGCAAACCTTGGGAGCAAAAGGCTCTATCTAGTGAGGAGGAACCTCTGACAAGATTCCTTGGAGAAGGGTGTGGTTAAGAGGGGCTCCAAAGGAGGGATAAGATCTCAGAACTGGAGATGGGAGTGAAAGTGTGAAGTCAAAAAGATTGAGTATGTTCACAGGAACAGAAAGTAGCCCAGCTTAGTGGACACCCTGGACATTGAATATAATGGGGAATCTATAAATTAGGTTGGGGCCTGTATTAATCAAAGCAGGACTGATTGGCTCACGTGTGTTGAGTCCAGAAGCAGAGCTGGCTTTGGGCATTCAGGTGTTGTGGTCCAGAAACTCTTCCTCCATGTCTCCGTTCTAGTCTCTGGCCTCCTTCATTTTCAGATGAAGTTTTAGAAGAAGAAGTTTGCCATCTCCAGTGGGAAGAGATTGCTTCTTTCCAGAAAGTCCCAGGGCTGACTCATTGGTCCACTTGTTAGCCATTTGTCCCAAATGGGGGTCACTGTAACTCTGACCATGCTTGGGCCATATGCCTACCTCTGGAGCCAGTGAGAGGGCCTATCCCACCTAGATCTCACAGAATGAAAGTGGAGAAGGAATGCCCCCCCCCCAAATACTAGGTTATTGTTACTAGAAGTATAAAAGATGTTAGGTGAGGAAACACAAAAGCTGTCTGCCATAGATCCACATTGTAGAGAACTCTGAAAGTGCATCTCAGAGAGCTGGGCTTCATTTGAGTTGTGATGGAGAACCAGTGATAATCGAAGGTAAGAAATAGAAACTTGAGGCCGGATAGATCCAACAACCTAGGCAGATTTTATTTTGCCAATCCGAAGCACTCCCAGCATTTGGGATTGTGCACAGTTTATGCCTCTTTTTCTGTAGTTGACTTCTTGTTTGGTAAGAATGCTGTTCCTCTTCCTTTACGTGCATTGAACTGTTACTGATTGACAAGGGCTCAGACCCTCTCGTTTTGAGATCATTTGGAGAGTAGTATGTTTGACAGGATACTGAAGCAGAATGTGGGCATTTTAAAGGTATTTGTCCATTGGCTTCCATTAAAACCAGAGGGTGGAGGCAAGAATGAATACAGGTGACCGTCAAACCGTAGCACAGCCACTTGCTGTACAGAAAGTACCAGAAGCAAATACTGCTGTGTTGGGAAAGGAGAAGGAGCGCGTTGGGGATGGTAACTCCTCCAGACACATAAATACTGTATATAACATAATGCTTTCACTTTTTTATCTTAAGTTTAATCATAACTTGGGAGTATCAACTGTATTTTTCTTATTTGGGAGATTACAATAAGAAAAGATTTGAAAAATACTGTCAAAAAAAGTCCTGTTTGGCAAAATATATCTCTAGTGATTATAGTTTATTCTTTTCCAAATTTTAGTCGTTCTAAATATCTGTGCATATAAAAATAAAAATTAAATAAATTTTTTACCTAGGAAGAAAAAAATTATACATTATAATACACCCCAAATGAAAGATTCAGTCACTTTTGTGTATGAGATGGGGCTTATTTTGAGAGGCTTTCCTAATTTTATTGCGTATTAAATTTAGTATTTAGGTATGTAAAGTTTACAAATCCATATTAAGAAGCTGTCAATACTCTCTTATTCAAGTTTCACAAGAAGGTTGCATAAAGAAAAAGACAAAAAGGAAGCAGATGTTCTAAACATATTTTCAGTTGCTTCTGGCCATTTATATGAACGCTTTTTAAGGTAGGTATATTTTTTATCTAATGCTTTGAAAATAGTACATGGTTCAAAAAGAATTTCGAGAGTTCAGAAGAACGAAAGAGCGTACAGTGAAGTAATCCACCTGTTTTCTTATTACCCAGTCTCCTTCCAACAGGAAACCGGTATTTTCATAGCTTACCAAAGACATAGGTAGATAAGCAAATACATTTTCTTCATTTTTAACTTTTTACTTAAGTAGTAACAACGTTTGTTGTTCTGTACCTTGCTTTTTTCTTTCTTTTTAAAGATTATTAATTAATTTGAGAGAGAGAGAGTGAGCAAGCATGAGCAAGTAGGGGGAGGAGTAGAGGAGGAGGGAGAGACTCTCAAGCAGACTCCCCGCTGAGCACAGAGCTTGATCTCACAACCCTGAGATTACCTAAAATTATGAGAACAGTGTATATATATATATATATTTTTTAAGAGATTTTATTTATTTGTCAGAGAGAGAAAGAACACACAGACAAGCAGGGGGAGCAGCAGGCAGAGCAGGCAGAGGGAGAAGTCCCCGCCGAGCAAGGAGTCCCATGTGGGACTCGATCCCAGGACACTGGGATCATGACCAGAGCTGAAGGCAGCGGCTTAACCAGCTGAGTCACCCAGGCGCCTATATATATGTGTGTGTGTATATATATTTATATGTATATAAATATATATATATATATTTAGGATTTTATTCATTCATTTAGAGAGCACAAGCAAGGGAGGGGCAGAGGGAAAGGGAAAGAGAGAATCTCAAACAGGCTCCACACTGGGCATGGAGCCCAGTGTGGGGCTTGATCCCATGACCCCAAAATCATGACCTGCACTGAAATCAAGAGTTGGATGCTTAACTGACTGAGCCACCCAGGTGTCCCAAGCAGTATATTTTTAAAATACAGTTAAATTCCATGAGTTTGATTGATTTGGAATATTGGTATTCTCTATGGCTAGGAAATGAACATACGTTGTAACAATATGATATGTGAGAGAAAGTATATGTAGTAAATTTCCCTTTTCTGGTGAGGAAATACCTTATTTTATAAAAAAGACGGGTGGGGTAAGAGGAGGAAAGCTTAATTCCTAACCAGAAAGGGCTATTTTTTTAACCTTTTATATAGAAGAGTATCAGAGAATCCCTCAAAACTATTTGAGTATGTCTTGGTATTTTAATATGGAAATTTAGATACATCTGTATCTTCCCTGGTCAGAGATCTAGCATAGCAAGACAAGTGGTCTGTCCAGTGAACTTACTAATAGAGATTATTCAACTCCTGCAGTTTTGTACACCTGGTATTAATGACACAGTAATAGAGTAGAGATGAGAAGGTAGTTCAACTAAACAAGGCTATTTCAGAGTCAACTGGAGAAAAACAAAAAGCTATTGATTTATTCTATGTGGGGTGTGAGTGTGTGTGTGTATGTGTATCCTTATACATTACATACTTGATGAGGAACCATAATTTGTGAAGGTACTTTAGTCTGTTTCTCCATAATTCAGAGTGAAAGCTTAATACCTTTAAGTAATTGTGTGTGTGTGTGTGTGTGTGTAATAATTAAAAGTGTTAGGAAGAACAGAGTGAACTCCTATTGATACTAACTTATTGGGTTTAACATTCCTATTTTATACAGAATTATGATGCTTTCTGTTTTACGTAACACCAAAACACCTGTGAAATTCTGGTTTCTAAAAAATTATCTCTCACCAACATTTAAAGTAAGTACATTAATTTTTTTATTATAGAATAGTTCAATGTTTGAAGAGTAAATTCTTTATATCGTAAGTTCACATAATTTCAGAATGAGTCTTTTGAAATTACTACTTTTAATCAATTTTAAAACTTTGGTATCCACTATTCTTTTATCTGAAGAAAAATTCTATGCTGTTTTTATTTAAAGAAGTGTTTAAAAGGACAGAAGGAGATGGTTTATTTTTAACTAAATTCAAAATAGAAAGATGAGTGGTTTTTCATGGTAATGAATATAATTAAATAAAATTTGGCAATGAAAGACATGTTCAGATTGTCAATAAAAAGAATTAGATTGTCCTAATTTTACAAAGATAGGCTGGGACAGTAGTATCGGAGAATATGAAAACTGCACCGTAGGAAATAGCTGGATAGTTCTGAGAACAAAAAGGCTATCTGTCTTGGTGCAGCACGCTGTTGTGGGGCTGGTTTGGGTACTGTATGCAAAATGGCGCCGTGCATCTGGAGACATTTTCAGATGGTCAACCGCTCTTACCCTTTACTCAGCCTCACGCCCCTGCCACAAAGTGTACTCTGTGTCTCCCTATTCTCATGACAGATTCATCAGATTTCATGTAAGTTAGGGTCTCATTCAGTAGCAGTTCAAAGGCTTTCTCCTCCTCTAATCCAAAACCAAGGGTAAAAGCAGAAATAAGCATGGCCAGCCATGTTTGTATGCCTGTTGCCAGCACGTTGCTGAGAGCTTTTCCTATGTAGTTGCTCTCCAGAAAGGTCTATTCCCGGAAAACCAGGACTCAGAAATTATATAACCTCCCACCCTATACAGCTAAGAGGTATCCAAGCCCACCCTCAGGTTCAGAGGTTAACTAGAAGAGCGCAAAGAACTGAGAGCCATTATCCTGCCAGTTACGGTTTAGCATAGCAATACCTTACAGCTGATACCTTGTGGCTCAGAGCCCCAGCTGTACGTCCCACTGTTAGCATAGACTTTTCGGTGTGGCCCCAGGCAGGACAGTAGGAGGACAGAGGTTACCTCCCAGGACCCCTGGGCAAAGGGCCCAACCTTTCTTTGAGCAAGATTTGTCCTTTAAAGCCCAGGCCTGAGATCAAACAGCTACTTAGGAACATAGCTGAGATCTGACCCCAAGCATTCCGCCCTCGGAGCCCAGGTGCTTAACCCTATGTCACAGCCTCTCCCGCCACCACCACCAAGAGTGACACATCACTTGCTCATTTAGGAGCAGATAAACAACTGAAAAAGAGCCCATAAATATAAACAAGTCTTACTAGTTTGTTACCAAGTTTTTGATGTTATCCTATTAGGCGAACACTGCACGCAGGGATTAATCCTGCAGAAACTGAGATAGCTCCGTCCGAAGATTCTCACAGCAGGCACGAGCCTGTTCCGTAGAAATATGTTCCATGTCTGCATGTGTTCTTCCTCTACCACGTGGCCAGAAGTAATAGCATATCTGAAATAATATTTTCCTTCTTTGGGGAATTTCATTCCTTTCCCTCAAAATGCTCATCTTTTTGAAACTTTTCAGTGAGGTACAATGTGTACAAATTGTAAATGTGCAGCTTTGATGAATTTTTACGAAGTTAAAACACCTGTGTAGCCAGTCAGATGCAGAAATTACTAGTACCCTAGATCCTTTCCTTACAATTTTCAAAACCTCTCTCTCTCTTCCTTCAAATCCTTGCTGACTTATACCTACTTAGGGAATAATCCTTTCCTGGCCACACAATCTGAAGTTACAGTCCCTTCTCATTTTCACTCTGCTTCCTTCCCCTTTTTACTTTCCCCTAGCACTGTGTTCTACAGGTGACTCAACTGTTCCATTCATTTTCTACCTACCCCCTCGAAAGCCTTATGAAGGCCATGAGTTGGTCTGTTTTTTTCGCTTCTGTATCCCTAGGCCCTACAAAATACCTGGCACCTAGTGAGTGCTCAGTGACAATGTTAGTGCATATTTGCTGATTAGAGAGCTCTTCTACTTTCTCCTAACGTGTTTTTTTTTTTTTAAATTTTGGAATCAAAACAATGATTCTCAGCAACCGTTCTGGCCATAATTGCAGCATTTCAATTCACAGATAAAACCAGTGCTTACAGTAAGGAACGTAATTTAAATCTACACTCTTCTTACAAAAGCAGGAAGAAAATTAAACTAGGTGTAAAACCAGCAACAAGCTCCAAATGAGAACTGAGGAGAAAAAAGCAAATTCTCTGTTTGCTAACCCATCTTCCCTCCCCCCGACCTTGACCACACTCCCTCTCAGATCGGGGCTCATGAGCCAAACTTAGCCAACAGGGTGTTAATGAAATACTGCCCTAAACAGGGTAAGATGCTCTAAGTCTGTAAGACACTGAATCCAATACCAAACATCTAGAACCACAATGACCACCCTGGATTTTTAATTCTTGAATTAAATAGTCATAAATCTCAAACATGGAGCTCATGTAGAAAACCTAATTTATCAATTTACAGCTCATTTTGTGTTTTTTTTGCCCTCCCTCTTTCTTTTGTCTCTGGGCAACCAGCATGTTGACATACCCATGCACTGTGTGACACATCAGTGTTCCCAGATCCGGACGCTCTTCCTTGTAGAGTCAGGCTTTCTCAAGTCGAACGTTGGTAGTAAGAACTAGGGGAGCATTTATCTTACTTAATAAACTTGCTGTTCAATATGGCGTACCTATTCCTTAATGTCATTAGATCACATAGTTTCATGTATGCTTGTATTTTTATATTGGTTAGCGTTTTCATATTACTCATTAATAGGTATACGTTGTAGAAGTAGTCGAGGCATTTTACCAAGTAGTTTGTAACAATTTATGGTAAACTCTGCTTTTTAAAATGTTAATTTTTTTCTCTAAAACAAAAACGATTTTCTCTTCCTTGAGCATATTCTTTGATTTGTGTGTATGTGTGTGTGTGTGTGTAGGAGGTGATTCCTCACATGGCCGAGGAGTATGGCTTCCAGTATGAACTCGTGCAGTACAGGTGGCCCAGCTGGCTCCATCAGCAGACTGAAAAACAGAGGATTATTTGGGGTTACAAAATTCTTTTCCTCGATGTCCTCTTTCCTCTGGCGGTGGACAAAATCATTTTTGTTGATGCTGACCAGGTGATAAGATTAACTGTAGTTTTTGGTAGTACTTAAACTTTTTTTGCACTTCTGTCTGGGTGTAGGGACTCGGTTTATATTGCTACTGTTCATTATTATCTTTGTTGCTATGCCACGTAAAAATACATGACATGAATGGGACACATAAAGGAAGTGTCTTTAAAAAAAAAAAAAAAGCTGTCAGAATTCCAGGGGAAACTCAAATGTATCTGCAAGAAGTACCATTTACTATCTGGGACATGGCAATTTTCTCCCTGAAGTAGTAGTTTTTTTTAAATTTTGGTAATTAAAAAAGTACTGATCCTAGTCACAATAAAAGTAGTTGTCTGAGTTCCTATGAATATGAGCTGATTATTTAAAATGAGCTCTTTCTTCTTGCTAAAAAAAATTTGTGATTACAGACAACTCTCATTTCCTTCTAAGGGAAAAAAATGTCCCAAATTTGGCTACTAAAAACCATTATAGTACTCAGGTTTCAAAATTTATATATCCAAAAATTGTGACTTTCCCCCTTCCCTCCCTTCCATGCCTTTGTAATCATTAATGGGAAAAAATATTTGAAAAATACACAGAATTTTTAAGTAGAACAGTAAAATGTAGATATTAACATTATATGAATTAAGAGTACAAGTTAGTTCAATTTATATTTAGGATAAAAAGTACATTCAAATCCTATATTAGAATTTATTTATATTGTAAACTTTTATTATTTTTATAGTATTTTCCAAATTGATCTATATGAATTATTATAATTAAAAAGTAAGAAGACAAGCAAATGTGGTTGATGAACTAGGCACTTCCAAATATACCATTTAACATAAAATATATTTCTTCTACCTTCCCCCAACTTACACAGTGATATTTTCCAGCAGGCTTGAATCTGTTAAAAAATGCGCCTGGGTGATGCAGTTGGTTGAGCACTCAGCTCTTGGTTTCAGCTCAGGTCATGGTCTCAGGGTCATGGGATCGAGCTCTCCATCAGGCTCAGCACAGAGTCTGCTTGGGATTCTTTCCCTCCCCCCTCACCCTGCTCACGCTCACGCGCTTTCTCTAAAATAAATAAAATCTTAAAAAAGGAACTTACTACTGTTATTTCATTAAAGCCATTAAGGATAATCAAGAGGTTTTTCTTTATCATTCAGACTAATATTTGCCAATATTACAATAATGGAGATTTATCATAAGATGATTTTGAATTACTAATCTATATCTTGATAACCTAAGAGTAATCAAGTAAGTAAGAATACTTGTGAAATATTTAATTTATTTCCAAAGTACATTTTGTTTAAACTATCTTGATCGAAGTGACATCACAAGGGGCCCCTGGGTGGCTCTGAGCTCAGCTCAGGTCATGATCTCAGGATCCTGGGATCAAGCTCTTTGTCAGTCTCTACACTTGGCAGGAAATCTGCTCATCCCTCTCCCTCTGCCCCTCCCCTACTCATGCTGTCAAATTAATAAAATTTTTTAAAAAATAAAATGATGTAATAAACTATCCTTATTAATGAATAAGACCACTGTCATATAGACTAAGCATAGCCATTGTTGGTTTCATTTTTTTTTAAGATTTTACTTTATTTGAGAGAGAGCACACAAGCAGGGAGAGGGACAGAGGGAGAAGCACACTCCCCACTGAACAGGGAGCCCGACTTCAGGCTCAATCTCGGGACCCCAGAATCATGATCTGAACAGAAGGCAGATGCTTAATCAACTGAGTCACCCAGGCGCCCCAGTTTCTTTCACCTGAAAGAACAAGAGAAGAAATAACTCAGTAAACTCCTTGCTGCTTGAAAGAGCTGTGAGAAAAGCACCATTCTCTTTATTTCTACAGTCAGGTGATTATTTGAGATTCACATAAAAAGGGCTTATTATAATAACATAATATTATTTTATAATCTTCATCAGAGAAACTATTTTAATTATTTAGATTGTGAGACATGACCTAAAAGAACTCCGAGATTTCGATCTGGGTGGAGCACCTTACGGGTATACTCCATTTTGTGATAGCCGCACTGAAATGGATGGATATCGTTTCTGGAAAAAAGGATACTGGGCATCACATCTCTTAAGAAGGAAATACCATATCAGGTAAGAAAATTTATGCTTTTTAGTAACTAAACAAGTTACTGGATCACAATACTCAGTTTTCTTAGAAATCAGACAACAATGGCAACCTGTTAGTGTCTATGGCATGCCCGTCACTCTTACAAGACTTTACATGTACTAACCCGTAAAATCTCTATGACAACATTTTGAGATGACATTATCCCCATTTAACGGCTGTGGAAACCTGGAAACCGCAACAGGCAGCATTCATGTGACTCTCCCAGGCTTATACCATTAGTGCATAGCTGAGCCAGGCATTAAACCCAATTAATAGGACTCAAGCGAGAGGCTCCTAACTACTAAAGATAAACTAGTTGGTTACGTCACAAAATGAGCATACTGTCTTCAAAGCTGTTGTTTTGGAGAGCCATGACTTTCATGGTGTCTTGGAAAAACTTGTGACTCTACGAGGATGTGGATCCTAATAGTATTATAATGAACTTCAGACCCGTTGGAAATGGTATTGGACATTGGGAGAAAATTTATGAAAGCTTTCATCATTAGTAGACCCGGGGATATCTAAAAGTCAGTCCCATCCCTCTGGACCGTCACTGGGGGAAAGTAAAAGTCCATGAACAACATGGGCCACCAAAGACTCCTCACCTTTGCAGCGCCTTGTATGTGGTGGATCTCAAGAAGTTCAGAAGAATTGCAGCAGGAGACAGGCTCCGGGGCCAGTACCAAGCTCTCAGTCAAGATCCAAACAGTCTTTCAAACCTCGATCAGGTAGGTAGAATGTTCATAGACTCATTTTCTTCTCTTTTTTTTCTTTCCTTTTTAAAATTTTATTTTATTTTTTCAGTGTTCCAAGATTCATTTTTTTTATGCTCCGCACCCAGTGCTCCATGCAATACGTGCCCTCCTTAATACCCACCACCAGGCTCACCCAAACCCCCACCCCCCTTTCCTCCAAACCGCTCAATTTATTTCTCAGAGTCCACAGTCTCTCATGGTTCATCTCTCCCTCCGAGTTCCCCCAATTCACTTCTCTCCATCTCCCAGTGTCCTCCATGTTATTCCTTACGCTCACAAGTAAGTGAAACCATATGATAATTGACTTTCTCTGCTTGACTTATTTCACTCAGCATAATCTCTTCCAGTTCCGTCCATGTTGATACAAAAGTTGGGTACTCATCCTTTCTGATGGCTGAGAAATACTCCATTGTATGTATGGACCATATCTTCGTTATCCATTCGTCTGTTGAAGGTCATCCTGTCTCTTTCCAGAGTCTGGCGATTGTGGCCATTGCTGCTATGAACATTGGGGTACATATAGCCCTTCTTTTCACTACATTTGTATCTTTGGGGTAAAGACCCAGTAGTGCAATTGCAGAGTCATAGGATAGCTTTATTTTTAATTGTTTGAGGAATTTCCACACTGTTTTCCAAAGAGGCCGCACCAGCTTGCATTCCCACCAACAGTGTAAGAGGGTTCCCCTTTCTCCACATCCTCTCCAACAATTGTTGTTTCCTATCTTGTTAATCTTTGCCATTCTAACTGGCATAAGGTGGTGTCTCAGTGTGGTTTTGTTTGGAATTTCCCTTATTGCTAATCCTGTGGGACATTTTTTCATGTGTCTGTTAGCCATTTGTATGTCTTCTTTGGAGAAGTGTTTTTTCATGTCTTCTGCCCATTTCTTGACTGGATTATTTGTTTTTTGGGTGTTGAGTTTGAGGAGTTCTTTATAGATCTTGGATACTACCCCTTAACCTGGTATGTCATTTGCAAATATCTTGTCCCATTCCATGGGTTGCCTCTTAGTTTTGTTGACTGTTTCCTTTGCTGTGCAAAAGCTTTTTATCTTGATGAAGTCCTAAAAGTTCATTTTCACTTTTGTTTTCTTTGTCTTTGGAGACGTGTCTCGAAAGAAGTTGCTGTGGCCAATGTTGAAGAGGTTACTGCCTATATTCTCCTCTAGGATTTTGATAGATTCCTGCCTCACGTTGAGGTCTTTTATCCATTTTGAGTTTTTCTTGTGTATGGTGTAAGAGAATGGTCTCATAGACTCATTTTCAGTACATGGATCCAGACCGCTCTAGTTCCCTGCTTGTAAACTTCAAAATCTGACATTTGCATCCTCTTTTTCCCCTTGGCACATTCTGTATTGGATATCTCGACCGTCTCGACTTAACGTGTAATTTTTTCACTTTCAGCTCAACATTTTCAAAACTAATCATATTTTATCTTCACTTTTCCATCCTTAGGCCTCTTCCTCCCACCACATGCCCTGGCTCACTTACTGTACCTTTTTCTTACTCCCTTCCATCATCAGTTAAACATGTCTCCGTCTCTGATCTTTAAGACAAACTCCCTTCATTCTGTGTCCCACCTGGCTACTGCCTTACATTTTGTTTTTCCTAACAGATAAGCAACTTTTTTTCTCAATATCTGACTAATTTCCAGAGTCATTTAACCTAATGATTGGACCCAAAACCTCCCAGAATTAGGGGGATAACAAGCACAGCCTCCCCAAGAGGGTCACTGGGAGCGAGGATAAGCAGGATCACTTCTACTTTGCCCCTTGGACCCATTCTTCCATATGGTGACACAGCACCATATGATGGTTGGTGATTTAGAACACATGCTGCACCCCATTCTTGCAGCGTCTTGTCCCCAAGGTAGCACCTCCTGTGCCTTCAGTAAATCATTTATTGCTCTGTCAGGCCAGCAGCTTCTGGGTGGTGTTGTATGCGGCTGGACCATGGGATCTCCTGGTCATGTGCCCTCTGCCAGGCTTCCTTTCCTTGCTCTAAAGTGGGTCTGTTGGTCTAATGCAATATTAAATGGAATCCTCCCTCAGTGGATAGCTCTGTAAGCCCTTGGATAATGCTACTAAGTCTCTGCGAGCAGAAAAGACAAACCTGTATGCAGAATATGTATATATTTCAGTTCAGAAGAATCTGTGATCTCAGTTAGGAAGAGTCCAGTCTAGTCGGCTACTTAAAAGACTTCACAGAGTAGTGGTCTCTCCTCCCAGATGGGGAAGGGAACCCTCCCCTTTGCCTCTAACAAAGAGTTTTATAAATCTTTTAAAGTTAGCTAATCGTACAGGGAGGGGCTTACTCTTTAACGTTAGGCTTATTACTTACAATGGGCGGTTCATTTTTCCATTGTCTTGGGGTTGTGGGATTACCCACAGAGAACAATTTTAAGAATGTCCAGCCTTTGTGGGTTTTACTGCCAGGGAGTGGCATCTGGTAGTCTTCCATGAGTTGGATCTTGTGATTCTTTTTATGATGGGCTTTTTCTTTTTAAATAAATAAAAGCCACAAACTACCAAAATGCACTTAAAATAAAATAGTTTGAATAGCCCTGTGTCAATGGAGGAAATTGAGTTTAGTTTAAATCTCCATGCCCAGATAGCTTCATTAGGGAATTCTACCAAATATTAAAGAAAGAAACAATGCCAATTCTACTCATTGTATGAAGCCAACATTAATGACTTTGACATTAAGACCATACAAAGACATTATAAGAAAGGAAAATTACAGACCAACATCCCACATGAACAGGTGTATACATCCTTAATAAAAATCTCGGGAAATCAAATCCAGCATATATAATAAAGACTCTATGTCATAATTAAATGGACTTTATCCCTGGGTTCATTCCATTTTAGAATACCAGTCAGTGTAATTCACTAATTAACAGACCAAAAAAAGAAAAATCACATGATCAGCTTGATACAAAAGAGCATTTGATATATCCCAGTATCCATTCCTAATAAAAACTCTCAGCAACGTAGCACAAGAAGGGAACTTCCTCAGCCTCGTAAAGGACACCTATGAGGGGCACCTGGGTGGCTCAGTCAGTTGAGTGTCTGACTCTTGCTTTCGGCTCAGGTCATGATCTCACAGTCATGGGATTGAGCCCCACATTGGGCTCTACGCTCAGTGCAGAGTCTGCTTCCGATTCTCTCTCCCTCTCCCTCTGCTTTTCCCCCCCTCTTGTTGTGCTCACCAGCTCTTTTTCTCTAAGGTGAATAAATAAAATCTTAAAAAAAAAAAAGACACCTATGAAAAACCTATAGCTAACATTGTACTTAATGGTGAAATACTGAATACTCTCCCCTTAAGATCAGGTACAAAGCAAAAACATCTCATCATTTCCATTCAGCATTGCAGTGGAGGTACTAGATAGTACAACAAGGCAAGAAAAATAAAAGGCATTGAATTGGCAAGGAGTAAGTAACTTTTTTTTTTCAGACAATAGAATCATTTATGTAGAATATCCTCTCTAATCTACTAAAAAGTTATATAGAACCAATAAGTATATTTAGTAATACTGCAGATATAAGATCAGTATATGAAAGTCAATTCTGTATTTCTATTTACTAGCAACAGTTGGAAATGGAAGCTAAAAAGATGATACTCTCTCTAATAGCATTTAAAAAATTAAGTTCATATAGAAATGGAGTAGACCCAAAATAGCCAAAACAGCTTTGAAGAACAGAGTTTGAAGACTTATTTTGCCTGATTTCAAGATTTAATATAAAGATATATATAAAGATTTAATATAAAGATACCAAATGGTGTGATTTGGTGTAAAAACAGGTAATTAAATCCATATGTAGGAATAGAGATTCCAGAAATAACCCATTCATTTGAATAATTGACTTTTTGACAAAGGTGTGAAGGCAGTGCGGTGGAAAAAGGACAGCCTTCTAAAATGGCACTGGAAAAATTAGACATCCATATACAAAGCAAAACAAAAACACTCCCATTCATAACACATTTCATGTACAAAAATCAACTCAAAACACATCATAGATCTAAAGATAAAATGTAAAACTTTTAGAAGATAGAAAATTGTTTATGCACATGTTTTTAGACCTGTTAAAAGTGTGACTCACATTAGAAAATAATTGACAAATATATAAAAGAACTCTCAAAACTCATTAAGAAGAAAGAAAACAATCTCATTTTTAAAAAATCAGAAACAAAATAGAGACCCCAGAAATGGACCCTCAACTCTGTGGTCAACTAATCTTAGACAAATCAGGAAAAAATATCCAATGGAAAAAAGAGAGTCTCTTCAATAAATGGTGTTGGGTGGACAGCCACATGTAGAAGAGTGAAGCTGGACCATTCTCTTAGACACCATACACAAAGATAAACTCTAAATGGATGAAAGACCTCAATGTGAAACAGGAATCCATCAAAATCCTAGAGGAGAACACCAGCAGCAACCTCCTTGACATTGGCCACAGCGACTTCTTTCAAGACAGGTCTCTAAAGGCAAGGGAAACAAAAGCAAAAATGAACTTTTGGGACTTCATCAAGATAAAAAGCTTTTGCACAGCAAAGGAAACAGTCAACAAAACTAAGAGGCAACCCATGGAATGGGAGAAGATATTTGCAAATGACGTATCAGGTAAAGGGCTAGTATCCAAGATCTGTTAAGAACTTCTCAAACTCAACACCCAAAAAACAAATAATCCAGTCAAGAAATGGGCAGAAGATGTGAAAAGACATACAAATGTCTTCCAAAGAAGACATACAAATGCCAACAGACACATGAAAAAATGTTCCACATCATTAGCTATCAGGGAAATTGAAATCAAAATCACAATGAGATACCACCTTACACCAGTTAGAGTGACAAAAATTAACAAGACAGGAAACAAGTGTTCCATGGAGAGGATGTGGAGAAAGGGGAAACCTCTTACACTGTTGGTGGAAATGCAAGCTGGTGCAGCCACTCTGGGAAACAGTATGGAGTTTCCTCAAAAAATTAAAACTAGGACTACCCTACGACCCAGCAATTACACTACTAGGTATTTACCCCAAAGATATAGGCTTAATAAAAAGAAGGGGACCTGCACCCCAGTGTTCATAGCAGCAATGTCCACAGTAACCAAACTATGAAAGGAGGTGAGATGCCCTTCAACAGATGAATGGATTAAGAAGATGTGGTCCATATATATTACTCAGCCATCAGAAAGGATGCATACCCACCATTTGCATCAACGTGGATGGAACTGGAGGGAATTATGCTAATGAAATAAGTCAAGCAGAGAAGGACAATTATCATATGGTTTCACTCATGTGGAACATAAGCAATAGCATGGAGGACCACTGGGGAAGTGAGGGAAAACTGAATGGGAAGAAATCAAAGAGGGAGACAAACCATGAAAGACTCTGGACTCCAGGAAGCAAACTGAGGGTTACAGAAGGGAGGGTGTGGGAGGGTGGAGTAACCAAATGATGGGAGTTTAGGAGGACACATGACGTTATGAGCACTGGGTCTTATATGCAACTAATGATTCGTTGAACACTGCATCTAAAACTAATGATGTGTTATATGTTGAATAATTGAACATAATAAAAAAATTTAAAAACCAATCTTTAAAAAATAAAGTATTTTAAAAATAAAAATTTTAAAATATCAGATTTTAACAGACACTTCAGCAAAGATGATGATCAAGTGGCAATAAGTCCATGGAAAGATGCTGAAGATGATTAGTCATTAGGGAAATGAGAATTAAAACTATAATGAATAATTCCACACACCATTAAAATGGTTGATACTAAAAAGACCATACTAAGTGTTGACAAGGGTGCATACATTGCTAATGAGCAGGTAAAAATGCTGTAACCCTGTTGGTGGGAATGCAAGCTGGTGCAGCCACTTTGGAAAACAGTGTGGAGGTCCCTCAAAAAATTAAAAATAGAGCTGCCCTCTGACCCGGCAATTGCACTACTGGTTATTTACCCCAAAGATATAGGTGTAGTGAAAAGAAGGGCCACATGCACCACATGCTCATAGCAGCAGGGTCCACAATAGCCAAACTGTGGAAAGAGCCAAGATGCCCTTCATTGGGCAGATGAATGGATAACGAAGATATGGTCCATATATACAATGGAGTATTACTCTGCCATCAGAAAGGATGAATGCCCAACTTCTGCATCAGCATAGACGGGACTGGAGGAGATGATGCTGAGTGAGATAAGTCAAGCCAAGAAGGACAATTATATGGTTTCACTTATATGTGGAGCATAAGGAATAGCATGGAGGACATTAGGAGAAGGAAGGGAAAAATGAAGAGGGGGGGACGAACCACGAGAGACTATGGACTCTGAGAAACAAACAGGGTTTTTGGAAGGTGGGGGATGGGGGGATGGGTTGGCGCAGTGATGGGTATTAAGGAGTGTACGTACTGCATGGAGCACTGGGTGTTACATGCAAACAGTGAATCATGGAACACAGCATCAAAAACTGTACGGTGACTAACATAATAAAAAAATAAAAAATGCTGTAGACATTTTGAAAAACAGTTTGGCAGTTTCTTATGAATTTGAATTTACTCCTACCCTATGACCAGTCAGTCTACTTCAAGGGAAATAAAACTATAAGTCTAGGGGCACCTGGGTGGCTCAGTGGGTTAAAGCCTCTGCCTTCGGCTCAGGTCATGATCCCAGGGTCCTGGGATCGAGCCCCGCATAGGGCTCTCTGCTCTGCGGGGAACCTGCTTCCCCCTCTCTCTCTGCCTGCCTCTCTGCCTACTAGTGATCTCTCTGCCAAATTTAAATAAATAGATAAATAAATCTTTAGAAAAGGTATATGTCTATATAGAGACTTGTGCATGAATAGATGTAGCAGCTTTATTTGGAAAGTCCAAATCCTATAACCACCCCGAATTCATTATCGCTCCTAACAACTTACCAGAAAACATAGCCACTTGCAATAACAAATAGTTGCAGTGGCCTGGAATCTGGGCCTGACGTAGCTGAGCATTCTGCTCCACAGTCGCTCATGACGCTGAAATCATCTTGGCCCCAGGGATGGCCATCTCCTCTGAAGACCTGACTGGGCTCAGTCACGCATGGGCTTGTAGGCAGGACTGTGAGGTCTTTGTCACTTATGAGGCTCATTTGCCTTGTAAACTTTCTTTAACCCAGGTGTCAGCAGTCTTTGCTTAGAAAGCCTGGAGCATTATTTCCTAACAGAGAAAGAAAGGGTGCCCTCCACATCCAGAGGGCATGGTGCCAGCATGTTGACAGCAATGGCAAGAGCGGCCCAGTGCGGGTGACCAGTGTGCTGGTTCAGGATGGGCGGAGGCGGTGCGGCTGTCCATTTGGGGCATGTGGGCTGGTGGATGTCTGGGCTCCCCACTGCATCCCTGATGTCAGGGGTGATGTCCAGGACAGCTTTGGGCACAGTTCTAGCCCCCGGGTTCATCATCACACAAGATGATTGGGTCATAGTAAGTATGTTAGTAGCTTAAAAATCGATATCTTAGATCTGCGAATGTTTTTTTGAACTTGTTTTTAATGTAATTGGCATCATCAAGTTCATTCCCTCTGCCTAATTTCTGTACCTTGTTTAAATCATGTTTCTATAGGATCTCCCCAATAATATGATTTACCAAGTCGCCATTAAGTCTCTTCCTCAAGACTGGCTGTGGTGTGAAACATGGTGTGACGACGACTCCAAACAGAGAGCCAAAACCATTGATCTGGTGAGTGTGTGTGCGATTGTCTGCGTGCAAGCACGTGTGAACGTGTTCAAGGAGAATAATTTCTCTTTTACAGCCTGGATGGCACCCCCGTGGCACCCTGCTGCTTCATCTATCATGTACTGTGGTGTTCACTTAGGTTGGCCAAGTACAGAGCCATGTTGGGGGGCCTCCAGGACCACCCCCAGGGTTGAGGAATCACTAAAAGGACTCCCAGAACTCAGAATATCGCCCTGCTCATGGCAGGGTTTCATGCCATGTCCACACAGGGAAGAGGTGTGGGGGGAAAAGTTCAGAGCAAGCCAGGGGCAGGCATCCAAGAGCCCGCTCCCTGGGCAGTCACGCGGGACCAGCTCAACCCCTGAAGCTGTGAGGAATTCCACAGCACTGGTGAGGTGGTGTGTCCCAGGGCAGCTCATCAGGAACCCAATGTTCCTTACCGGGGGCCGCTCGCAAGCACTCCCCCTGCCTGTCGCATGTCAGGCGCTTAAAAAGGAAATACACTGAAAATTCCCAACATCCAAAAGGAAAGCAGGTTCAGTATAAAGCATGGGTTGGCACAGTTCAGGCACTGTTGTGCTACTCTTACCAGGAATGATGGCAACGCTCCTGAAACCCACGTTCCCAGATGCCGGCCAAGGGCCATCCATGCAAGCAGGCCGTGTGGAGGACGGCGATCTCGGGCTCACTGCATTACTCTCTCGGGCACTTTTCAGGGGCGTCTGAAAGGAAGGCCAGGAGCTGCCTGAAGTGCTCATGGATTAACTTTCATCTTAATGTATAACCAGTTTGGTTCTCCTGCCAGTATTTTTCCCGAATGAAGACGACCGAAATAATTCTGTGTCTACTAAATTATCCTTTACGTGTCTGCTTTTCTTCCTTTTGAGAAATTTATTTTCATTTTGATTTTAAGCAGATCCTATGCTACACAGTGTAACTCTCCTAGATGTGAAATATTTGAAACTAATTTATTGTCCAGCTGTCTCGAACTCACATTCCAATAGTTTATTATCTTTAATAGTTACGAGATATTGACATTCTTTTTCTTTAGAAAGAAAAAGAATGTTTTTTGTGCTAATTTAAGTTTTAAATAATTATTTACAAGTTCTTCAGTAAAAAATAAGTTGTCAAAATATTAGCATTCATACAATTTTGAACAAAAGACAGGACAATAAAATAGACATTTTTCTAGGTATGCGTAGAAATGTATAGAAAAAAACGTAGCAGGCCAGTATGTCAGGTTGCAACCAAAGGTAATAGAATGTAGCAGAAATAAGTAAGATAGCACTGTTAAGAAGAAAGAAGGGAATTTTCTAAAGAGAGGTCAAGAACATTACTGAACGAAACTCCTAAGAGATTGTTAAGGTTGTGCTGGGACATAAAAGGTTGTGACTCGTACATTGGTGACAGAGGGTCTCCTGGGGGTCTCTAGTACTTAGGTTAGCATGAACTAACTATAACCCTAAATTTCAGTGGTTTCTTCCTCACCTGAGTACAGATCTATGTGAGTATTCTGTCCGTGAGTAGCTTCCCTGTCCCCCATGACTCAAGGACCACCCTCCATCCACTTGGGGCTCCTTAATCCTCTGAGGTCCTGTCATCTCTGTATCCATCTGGAGCTGATCTGCCCAGGATGGCGGCCACTTGCCACATGTGGACCCCTAAGCACTTAAAATGTTGCTAGTCTGAACTGAGATGGGCTGTAATGTGTAAGATAGATTTTCAAGACTCGGTACAATAATAAGGTAAAAACATCTTATTACTAACTTTTATACTTATTACATATTGACTGATAATTTGGACATGGTTAAGTAAGATACAGTATTAAAATTTATTGCACCTGTTCTTTTTATACTTTTATATGTTGCTCCTAGAAAATTTAAGATGACATATGTAGTTTCCATCCTATTTCTCTTGTGTAGTGTTGATCTTGGAGTGGAGGGAAGAAGTGGCAGGAATGCTTCCTGACTCCCAAAAGCCGTGGCCCCCTTGGGTGGGCATTAGTTGTGTGGCCACATGTAGATGTAAGAGGGGCTGAGAAATGGCATTCCCAGTGGGCAGCTACTGCCTAGGAATGGGTGGGTCTACATAGAGAAAAGGTGGCATGAATTTTGGTGGACAGCTAGCCATCCCTCCCACAGAAACACTTCAAAATGAGAGAACATGCTAATTTGGGCTGGCTTCTTGGGGAAAAAGTTAAGGGAGTGCAGAAAAACCCCGAGGAAATGGCCTAATGAAGAGAAGAAAGCACGATTAATGGCATTGAAGGTGAGGAGAGCATTTATGAATGTCATGATACTCTGCACCGTTTCAGTCAGGGTTTTCAACCTGGGCCTTACTGATGTTTAGGACCGTGTGGGACCTTCCTGCGCTCTGTGGGATGTTTCGCACGTCCCTGGCCTTACCCACTAGATGGCGATAGGACCCCACCCCCAGGCCTGACACCCAAAATGTGTCCAGACCTTGTCAGAGCTCCCCTAAGGGGCAGAATAGCCCTATTTAAGCACCATTGATACAGATTATAGGGGGAAAATATTGTAGCACAAAATATTAAGGAAAACAGTATTTTTAACAGTTTCTGACACAACTAAAATGAGAAACAAAATAGTTCGATTATCTTCACTTTATAGAACGTATTGTCTGTAAGGTTAATTTCTGCGAAGAAAATCCTCTTTTCCCACTTACTTCAGGAATATATGACTATAGAAAAAATCCACAGTGGAATGAACTGAAAATATCTGGTGAGGAAAGGATCAAGACACTAGGCTCATGGCTCATAACCAGTAGCTTTCCCACAGGAATTAAGGAGGAAGCAAGTTGAGGCAGCTACAAGGGAATGTCGCGTACAGTAGGCTTCCAGATGCAGCCTCTGTGAATGCCTTGTAGGGAGCAAACGGGAGGCTCGTGGAACTGCGGGGCGTTTGTGCTCCCACCACTGCCCGTCGTGTCTCCGTCAGTGGCGTCTCCATTCCTCACATGGCTCCAGCCGCACACTCTGGGGGCCCCTGTGACCTTTCTCCTCACACCTCCTGTGCAGCCCATCAGCAGACATCGTCCTCTGCACTGTCACCTACGTCCACAGTCAGATCCTTCTCCTACGAGACTTTTGCCTTTTAACCTTTTAATTTCCCGAGGAACTCCATGGTAGGAACAGTTGCTCACTGAGTAGTTTAACTGGGTCCTGTGTCAGTGGAACCTTGGAGACTGTCTTCCTCCTCTGTGTGGAGCACGAGACACCCCCCCCCACACACACAGTAACACAGACACACACACTGTATGGATCTCGCCAGACACCCCCCCCCACACACACACACACACACTCTGTATGGGTCTCGCCAGACACCCCCTCTACACACACACAGACACACACACACACACTGTATGGGTGTCTCCTCTAGTGAGTGTGCAGTTGGAACCTGACTGCAGAGCCACGCCCACTGGCTTTCCACTGTGTCAGGTAGACTAGTTAATATTTCTAGACATGAGATTTATAAACTACTCTGCATTTCACACCTGTCAATATTTTGACAAATGAGTTCCAGTTAACTGATTTTCTTTTTCCAGTTAACTGACTTTAAATATCATCACAGTTGCTAAATAGAAGCGAGGCATAAGAAGCGGAATGGTCGTTTTTGCTAAAGAAACTCATGGGATTTCTAAAGACTAACCAATACTTTTGTCTGTGGAAAACGGAAAGCATATAAACCAGACATTAGCCCGAAGAAAAGATAAGAAAATATTTGTTAATGTAGTCTATGTTCTTTTACAAAATGGTCATGGAATTAGATCTTTTGTCAAAACAGTTTGTAGAATTGTTTGACAAACTACTTGTTAACCATCAGAATGTTTAGGGCGCCTGGGTGGCTTGGTCGTTAAGCATCTGCCTACGGCTCAGGTCATGATTCTGGAGTCCTGGGATAGAGCCCCGCATCAGGCTCCCCGCTCGGCAGGGAGCCTGCTTCTCCCTCTCCCACTCCCCCTGCTTGTGTTCCCTCTCTCACTGTGTCTCTCTGTCAAATAAATAAAAGCTTAAAAAAAAAAAAAAGATCAGAATGTTTTTAAAACAATTTTTGTTTAAATTTCTGATTGAGGGACACCTGGGTGGCTCAGTCAGTTAAGCATATGCCTTTGGCTTGGGTTATGATCCCAGGGTGCTGGGCTCAAGTCCCTCATCCGGCTTCTCCCTTTGCCTGCTTCTCCCCCTGGTTGTGCTTTCTCTCTCTCTCTCTCTCTCTCTCTCTCTCTGACAAAGAAATAAGTAAAATCTTTAAAAAATAAAAAATTTCTGATTGAGGTGTTTGCATTAAACACTTACTGCTTGCATAAAGTATGATTTGTCATTTCACTTGATCCTTTCCCCATTCAACTAACTTAAGAACTTTAAATATTTGGTACTTAGGACTCAGCTTTTTACAAAATGCATTTTTGTTTGCTCTAGTGACTTAGTAATGTCCTCAAGCATTTCCTTTATGTTTCCTGAACAATGGTCAGTCCTTCCTTCCTCCCTCCCTCCCTTCTTTCCTTCCTTCTTTCCTTAGTTGAAGTATAACGAACATACGAGGGCAATAGTTTTTCATTAACACAACTTCATTTAAACTTTTAGTGCAATAATCCCAAAACAAAAGAGCCCAAGCTACAGGCTGCTGCCAGGATTGTCCCAGAATGGGTGGAGTATGACACGGAGATCCGACGACTGTTAGATCACCTGGAAAACAAGAAGAAAAACGCAAGTAAGTCACCCTTCTGCGGTGGTGTCGGAACCACGCATTGCATTAACTGAGAGTATAATAGATTACGAACTCTTTTCTTGGTGAATTTATTAAATGATGAGATCAGAATTTCTTTAAGAAATTTCCTTTTTATGTGGGCTAAGCCCACAAATTAAAAACGTGGACAGAGACTCTCTTCCCCGTGGAGAGAACTTCACCGCAGAGCCCAGTGCGGCGGCATCAGCCTCCTGACACCAGCAGTAAAAAATCGAAGTAGCAAAATGCCCATCTTTAACATTACACTGAATTTCCCAAATGGGAAAATCCAAGCCCTGAGTTTTAGTAAAAGACTTACATAGTAACTAGAAATACTACCTCCTATCTCCTAAATTAATCTCCTACAGAATAGGGATTTCCCATGGGTTCCTGGTTCGAGCAGCCTTAGTCAGGGCTACAGCAGGACTAGGATTCCATGTGCTTCCATTTCCAAGATTAAACCGTGGTTACCTGGGCATTTCATCGCTCTGCATAAACCTTCAACAAATGAGTGTTGAATATTCCTTTAAAGCCAATACAAACTTCTTGATTGCCTCATAATTCTCTTTCCTCATCAGTGCCTAGTTCTCTGTTTTTCTTTACTCTTTTTAAAAAATAGCACTGAGCTCCAGTCCGTGTACAGACTTTTCACAGGTTACATTAATCCTCAACAATAATTCTTTCCATTGGTTCAGAATAAAATTCTTAATTTTATTAAACTTTATTTTTTCAAGACATTCAAATGTTAAATATAAACATAAAAATGTTGTATGTAAACTTTCTCACATAAGCATGAAGTTGTGTTCATCTTGACTTTCTGTATTCCTTAACAAAACCAGTGTGTTATTTTCTGAGAAGTTCAGTATTTAAAACACACTCATGTATTTTTAATTAATAAATTAAATAATTTTTTTTAAGATTTTATTTATTTATTTGCCAGAGATCACAAGTAGGCAGAGAGGCAGGCAGAGAGAGAGAAAGGAGTAAGCAGGCTCCCTGCTGAGCAGAGAGCCTGATGAGGGAGGGACTTGATCCCAGGACCCTGAGATCATGACCTGAGCCAAAGGCAGAGGCTTAACCCACTAAGCCACCCAGGCATCCCAATAAATTAAATAATTTAATTAAGTCACCATTTCAGTGCAGAAGAAGATTCTGTCAGTGTTGTGATGTAACTGTTTCGAAGAGAAGGAGATAAGACAGAGAAGGGGGAGAAAGGAAAAAAGGAAAACGAAGAAAGGAAATTTTACATAATTACTTAAAAATTTTTTAAGGCGCAGAACATGAGATGAAATGTTTCTCTTTCAAATTGGAAAGAGTTAAAGGGTTAATAATATCCAGTGTTAGCAAGGATATTGACAAGTGAGCACTCTCATGTACTTATACATACAATAGCTGTATAAATTAAGGAAATATTACCATATGTATAAAAATTTAAAATATGTGTGCCCTTTGACCCAGCAATTCACTTTAACAAATTTACGTTATAAAAGAGAAATGACGGGGTGCCTGGGTGGCTCAGTCGGTTAGGCCGACTCTTTGATTTCAGCTCATGTCTTGATCTCAGGGCTGTGGGATCAAGCCCCCCATTGGGCTCGATGCTCAGTAGGGAGTCACCTTGAGATTCTCTTTCCTCCTCTCCCTCTGCCCCTCCCCACACACACAGACACACATACTCTCTCTCTGTCAAATAAATCTTTTAAAAAATAAATTAAAAAAAGAAATGATGTATGTATACGTATGATTGTTACACTATTGTTTTTAATGAGATAGAAATAATTTCTCCATTGGGGCACCTGAGTGGCTACAACTGGTTGGTTAAGCTTCGAGCTCTTGATCTACTCAGCTCAGGTCTTGATCTCAAGGTCATGAGTTCAATCCCTGCGCTGGGCTCCATGCTGGGCGTGACCTACTTTTAAAAAAGAAATAAATAATTTATCCATTAAGAGACTATTGATTATATAAACATTATTGTACACAAACAGTGAAATATAGTGTAGACTTTCAAGAGAATTGAGATAAATATATTTTGCTGACAGTATATTTTAAGTTAAAAACATAAAGTAATATTTGTAATATGATTGACTCCATCTTAAAGAAAAATGGCATGTTTGAGTTTACATATGTATTTATATATAATAATAAGAGAAGTTTAAAAAAGTTTTATGTAAGATTATTGCAATTTTTTACTTAATTTTGAATTACAAATGTAAGATATGTTGTAAACAGTAAAACAATATGGAAGTGTACAGTATAAAGTTGGAAGACCTCTTTTACTCAGACACAAAGGGGCAGTCATTTTTAAGGCTATGGTATACCTTTCATAACTCTTGATTTCTCATAGCAGCTGTATTAGTTTTCTAGGGACCACAGCCTAAGTGGCTTAAACAAAAGAAATTTTTTGTCTCACGGTTCTGGCAGCTTGAAGTCCAAGATCCAGGTGTCATTAGGGTTGGTTCCTTTTGAGGGCAGTGAGGGAGGATCTATCCCAGGCCTTCTTCCCAACTTGTAGATGGCCGTTCTCTCTCTGGCTCCCTTTACCTTGTCTTCACTCTCCATATATCTGTGTGCAGATGTCCTCACCCAACAAGGACACCACTCATGTTGGATTAGGGTGTAACCTAATGGCGTCATTTTAACTTCATTACCTCTGTAAAGACTCTATTTCCACATAAGGTCACTTTCTGAAGTTCTGTAAATTAGAATTCCACCATATAAATTTTGGAGGGAAACAGTTCAATCCATAACATGAATGGAGTTGAGGATATTGTCGTATGTTTAAGGGCCATTTGTCATTTCTTTTTGTTTTCCATTTATTCTTGTCCTTTTGCTCATTTTTTCCTAGAGGATTGTTGTCCAACACTGGAAAGAAACTAATGATCTTTATTCCAGAGATTTGTGTTGCCACCTTTATCATAAACTAAATCCCAGTATTATTTATGTCTCACGTGGCATATTTTTTATCCTGTTCCATTGATCTCTGACTGTACATGTGCCTCTTTCACACTCTTTTAATTATTGAATATTTGTAGCATGTTTTAATATTGAGTAGGGCTTATCTCCCCTCATTGCTATTTTGTTTTTGCTGTTTTCCTGGTACTCCTGTTCATTTTTCCATATAAGCTTTAGAATCATCTTATCTAGGCTGAAATTTTTCAGGTTTTTTGGGGGGAGGGTAGGGGGTTGGAGGGAAGATCACGTTAGATTTGTTAATTAGGTTAGGAAGTACTGACATTTTCATGAAAACTGTTCTTCCCATCTAAGAGCATGTTATATCTTTCTATATGTTCAGGTTCATTTTATGTTTGTCAAGAATCATAACATTTTAGTCATCTAAGTTTTATATGTTATCTTTTTAAGCTCATTCCTAGACATTTCATCTTTATGTTAGTATTATGAATGGGATTTTTCTCTTACAAAGTATCTTCTTACTGGTGGTTACTTGTACACAAAAAAACTATTGTTTTTTGTGTATGAATTTTTATTTCTGTGATCATACTGAGTTTTCATTTATAGTAATATATAAGTTGATTCTCTTGATTTTTTTCCCCCCAAAGATTATTTGTGAACAAGAATGATTTTTCCTCTTCCTTTCTAATGTTATACCTCACATTGCTTTTTCTCATCTAATTGCTTTGGTTGATATCTCTAACAGGATGTTAACAATAGTAGTGCACTAGGCCTCTTTCTCACTTTGCTGGCCAACCTTCCGTGTTTCCCTATTAAGTAGGATAGTCGCTTTGGACTACGAAAATTTATCATGTGGAGGAAATAGCCATTGATTCCTATTTTAATGAATGTTTTTATCAATAATGAGTTGCACTTAGCACTGCATATTAACTAACTAGAATTTGAAAAGAGAAAAGAGAATGGGTTCCTTTGATCGACTGCCTCCTCAAGAGCAATGGAGGTGACTATCTGTTTTTTGGTTTTTTTTTTAAAGATTTTATTTATTTATTTGACAGGCAGAGATCACAAGTAGGCAGACAGGCAGGCAGAGAGAGAGAGGGAAGCAGGCTCCCTGCTGAGCAGAGAGCCCGATGCAGGACTCGATCCCACGACCCTGGGATCATGACCTGAGCCGAAGGCAGAGGCTTAAACCACTGAGCCACCCAGGCGCCCCTACTATCTGTTTTTTATATTTGATTTATTAATATGACAAATTTTATTAATGTATTTCTTGATATTGACTCATCCCTGTGTTCCAGGTTTAAACTCAGCTTGGTCCTGACCTATTATTCTTTATTTTTCCTTTTTTGAAGTTGAGATATAATTGACAGATACAACTTTTTATTAGTTTCAGGTGTATAACATGACTTATTATTCATATGTATTGCAAATGCTTCTTCTGCATCCATTGAGATGATCATATTTTATCCTTTCATTTTGTTGATGTGTATCATGTTGATTGATTTGTGAATATCAAGCCATCCTTGCATCTCTAGAACACATCCCACTTGATCATGGTGTGTGATCTTTTTAACATATTGTTGAATTTGGTTTGCTAATATTTTGTTGAAGATTTTTACATCTTTGTTTATCAAGAATATTGGTCCGTAATTTTCTTCTCTTGTAGTGTCCTTTTCTGGTTTGGGAGTCAAGTTAATGCTGGCCTTATAAAGTGAGTTCGGATGTGTTCCTTCCTTGTCTATTTGGAAAAGTTTAAGAAGGATTGGTATTAATTATTCCTTAAATGTTTGGTAGAATTCACCAGTGTAGCCATCTGGTCCTGGACTTTTGTGTCTCAGGAGGTTTTGATTACTGGTTCAGTCTCCTTGCTAGTAATTGGTTTGTTTAGGTATTCTATTCCCTCAGGAATCACTATATTCATGATAAGTTGAATGTTTTTAGGAATTTATTCATTTCTTCTAGGTTGTCCCAGTTTCTTGGTGTATTATTGTTCATAATAGTCTTTTATGATCCTTTGTATTTCTGTAGTTATATTTTCTTTTTATATTTCCTACTTTTCCCCTCTGTTCAGGGAATTTTTTTTTTTTTTACTTCTATTGATTTTTCTTTAAGAGGGTAATCACATCTTAATTTTTGACAGATCTTTTTCTCTCCTTGTTACTTTTGAATTTCAGTTTCTTGTTTTATGGTTTTATTGAATTTCATTTTCAGAATAATCTGGAAAATACTAGAATTATCTTAAGTACCTCTTCGGTTCTCTTTGTTATCTTCTTTCTTTTGGGTATGTTGTTTATCTTGGGCCTTTTTTCTTTTGCTATTGGTCTTCCTCAAATGTGTGGAGATCCTTGGCTATTTTTATATTTTTAAGAGTAAAAGATTAGATTGATCAATACAGAGAGCTGACAAGGGTCTTCTATGTGTCAAAATGTCTGTTTTTCCAATAGGCTTCTTCCCTGAGTGGGAGGGTTGATCAGTAGCTCTGGGTACATTAGCATGTGCAGAATTGACACATTCCTCTCTGGACATACTGGCATGGAACAGATAAAGGTCATGCTACACACCAGCCTGGCCAAAAGCCAACATGACGGCATTTTATTCAAGAGCATTGACCCTCCTATGAAAATCGGTCTCTGTCTGTCTGTCGCTCTCTCAGTGGGTTGTTGAGTTTTTCTTCCAAAAGTCATTTTCTCCTTTTTGTCTTGTAATAAACAGCCTGACCAATTCCCTGTGAAATGCAGGGGACAGAATGAGAGTGGGAGGCTGAGAGGCACAGATTTTCCTGACAGTGTTTCAGTTACTGCTTCACATTCTCACTCACGCGCCACCAGTGTTTGCTGTCAGGAGGTTCTCTTCTGTTGGAAAAATCACCTCCTCTTCCCTGCCATGTGGTCGTGTATCAGCTCTATGTTCTGTCTTCCATTTTTAGAAATTCATTCATAACTCTGCTCCAATGATGTCTCATAACCACTTCCCCCATTCTCATTACTGTTGCTCCCTTTTATATTTCTTTATTATCTCTCAAGTGGAATTTAGTAAAGAGAGAACATAGTCTAACATCTCGAACTGTGGAATAGGATGCATTTGAATTGTACTTTCATTCATTTCTGCCCGAAAATGTCACTTTAAATATCAGTGTTTTAAAATTAGCTCGTGTGTGACACCTCAGTGATGCGGAGACCCTTTTGGTCTCCAGGAGTCTTCGCTAGGACTGATCCTCTCACGGCCGTGTCAGCATCTGTCCGTGTTGGAGCGCTGCGTCTCTGCCGCCTCCGCCGCCTCCGAGGAGGACCACATGTGGCTTCTGCTCTCTGTTGGTCCGTTATGTTAACAGTAGGCTCTTGGTGCACGCCGAGTGAATGATCAGGATTTTTCAGGGCTTCCATGGCCAGGCAGTGTGCTAGGTTTCAGAGATAACAGAGATCAAAAAAGATGTGGTCCTTGCCCTACTAGACTCCTGAGAACCCCCTTCTAGGTGATAAAACGTTAAGCGTTTGTGATACGATATAGTAAGTGCCATCATGTACAAGGAACTAATTTCCTTTCCCATAAGCAAATAGGTACCAAACAAACGAAAGGATCCTCAGTCAGCAGCTGTGCTTTTTCCGTATCTCTTACTTTGGTGAGAGTTAGCTATAAGTGAATTTGATATTCAAGATTTCAATAACTCAGTACGTTTTCCTCCTCTACAGTTTTGACGCATGATGAGCTCTAGCACTGGCTTCCAGGAGGAAGACAGAATGAGAGGACGTCTGCCACCTGCTGGGGAAGTGTGGAACTACTGCTAAGACTTTTGGAAATTTCATTAAAGATCAGTGACATACTCCTCAATTTAAATAATATTAATTATTTTAAAATACATGTACGTAATGTATTGAATAAGTTTAAGTTATATAAAAAATGACCATCGAGTATTTAAAACTAGATTTTTTTTTTCTTTATTGCTTGAAACACTGGGTTTTCACCCGTTAAAGTGGTACTTTGCCAGATCGCCCAGTTAGAACATAAGCAGACTGGCTGGTCCTCACGGGGATGTAGCAAACCGACTCCGTCTGTGTTTTCCCTCTTCGTGCACCCATATTTCTTTAATTGCAAACGCACTTAAAATTAGAGAAATCTCTTGTGTTTTTTTCTTTTGAGAAAGGAAAAGGACTCATGGTTACCTCTGAATAATAAAAAAAAAATTAAGCCCATTTATAACTTACTTTAAAATGAAAGAAGTGTGGTACTATACTATAATCATTTATTCATCTTAAGCGATATGATACAATTCTATGCTGTATTTCTATCTTCTTAGTGTTTCTAATCTTTGAGAAAATTACATTCATGGGCTTAGGAGGTATGTATGCTTTTAAAGAAGGAGTATAAAAAGTATCAAGTAGTCACTTTTATAGAAACTAAGAAGATGAAGTTTGTTTTCCTGCTGTGTATTAATAATAGATGCATAGAAATCGTCAGTGTACAAAAACTATCCACCTATTCTAGAATCTGGATCGTGGGAATGGAAGAGACCTCGGTGTCTTTTGAACCCCGTCCCCTGAAGAAGCCGATTCGATAGGGCTGGGCTGAGCGTGGGCGACCGTGGTTGTGTAAGGGGCTCTCCCTGGGATCTGCTACCGAGTGTGGTGTGGGAAACGTCTCACGGAGGTTAGCCCCAGCCACCGAGGCAGACCCCCTCGCAGGCCCCGTCCAGTGGAGCCTGGGACACCTGGGAACCCGGCCAGGCCACAGGGAGCGGTCTGCCTCCGGAGACGGGCCGGTCCCTCTGAGCTCCACAGTGAGCCAGAGCTGCCTACGGAGTCTCTCCTCTTGTTCTCTGAGCTCTTCTGAACGGGTCTAGCCCTCCTCTGTTCGGCGGCAGCACAGCCCGGCCCGTAGGGTATTTGAAAATAGCCACCCTCTCCCCAGCTGCTTCCTTCATTCCTAATTGGAAGTCACAAGAGCTCTCCCTCTCCTGGTCACCCTCCCTTTGTCACTTGTTCCCATCTGTCTGGGATAAAATGGAGTGTTCCAGGTGTGGCCTCCCCTGTGGAACCAGAAGATTCCTGTGAGCTCCAGGGATCCCGAGGGAGGCTGTGGACGGCCGGAGGGTGACGCAGCCCGGGCTGGCCGGCTCCACGGTGCCGTCGGACTCGCACAACTCCGGGCTTGGTGAGAGGCAGCGGCTCTTCTCGGTGGCCCAGCTGACCGAGGTGCGCTCTGGGGTTTAGGGCAGAATCCCCACCTGATGGTAAGATGGCGCTTTGCTTTCCTTTATTGTCAGCTGATTTTCCCTTCCATGAGACTCTTGTGGGGGGGAAGGATGGGCTAGACGAAGGCGCCCAGTCCCCATGCCTGTGACTGCCATCTCCGGTGTGCCAGACTTCATATTTCACGGAGCAGAAGCTGAAACTGCAGAATACTGTAAACAGTCTTGATGCCCCCCTTTGGGTTTGTATGTTGTGATTTGAAGGGCACAGTGTCCATGTCTCATTTCCAGATGAGAGAGCTTGTGGCTAAAAATCCAGATCGGGGGCGCCTGGGTGGCTCAGTGGGTTAAGCCGCTGCCTTCGGCTCAGGTCATGATCTCGGAGTCCTGGGATCGAGCCCCGCATCGGGCTCTCTGCTCAGCAGGGAGCCTGCTTCCTCCTCTCTCTCTGCCTGCCTCTCTGCCTGCTTGTGATCTCTCTGTCAAATAAATAAATAAAATCTTTAAAAAGAAAAAATAAAAATCCAGATCGAGGGGGTGCCCGGCTGGCCGTCGGTAGAGCCTGTGACTCTTGGTCTCAGGGTTGAGTTCCAGCCCTGTGTTGGGTGTGGAGCCCACTTAAAAAGAATAAATTTTTAAAGTTCTAAAAATCATTTATTAATAAGATGCTTCTTTATAGGGAGTTTCTTTTATAAAATGGCTCATTTTTAAATTTGTGTGTCAAGTGCACATAGACTGCTGTGCGATACAAAAGTCCGCCCTTGTCAGGGACCCAGGATGCGCACTGCAGCCCTCACAGAGAAAGCCACCAGCGGCACTGAGCTGAAGCGCTGAGACGGAGCCCGGGGGCATTTGTGGCTGTTCTGGATCAGGTGCAGGCCCCCAGCACGCGCTAACGAAACTCAAATCCTGAGAGAAAAAGAAAACACTTTCCGTGAGAAGTTATAATCCACTTAGCTCGCCCTGTCCTTAAAGGAAATGGTCAACAGTTGATTCAAGAAGTAGGAGATTTTGAACTTATCATGGAAAGACCTGTAAGCTTTAGGCATCAAGTAAACCCAAACTACGAGACTGAAGACCATCCAGTCTTTGTACCACTCAGAAGCTTATGTTCAAAAGGTTAGATTTTAAAAGTAGCCATCCTTTGGCTCCCGGTATCCAGTTCAAAGGACAGTGGAGCCGAGAGCGAGAGCGAGAGAGAAAAAAAACCTCCGGAAAACACATGGGCCATCTCAGCCGGGAGTGACCGATAAAATCAGGCTTTAGTGGGAGAAATGTGGTCTGACACAAGTGGGAGCGAGCTCCTGACTCCGGCCCCCTGGGAAGCGGCCCGCCCGCTGCCCCTGCCCCAGAAGGGGCTTTTGTAGGTAGACGCTGGTCAGTATCCTTCAGTGACTAAAGTGTGGCTAAGACCATTTTCTTCTTTGCTGCTGTATCTCAAAGAAGTTAGTGATATTTAGGGGGCAGCAGAAGAAAGTTAATGACATTTAACTTCCGCTAGAACAAGTGGGACAATTCACCAAAGGACCCCACGGGTCTCAGCCCCAGGGATGAAAGGTGCCGAGGAGTCGGGCTCAGGATCACGAAGTGTGGGCTACTGTCCGGCCCGTCTGCCTGCTTCTCTCACTTGACTTGGCAGAATGGAGGCTGTCCATTCGCTTCGAAAGAGCCGGTTGGTTTGTTAAAATCTTACTTTCGGTGGCAGCGAGGGAGGGGCGGCAGGAAGACCCAAGGCCTTGAGGGCCTGGGCTCCGCTCAGAGGCAACCGTGAGGCCCAGCGGTGCGTGGTCGTGGTGCGGGCCAGGCTGCCACTGCCCTGGAGTCTGGAGGGTTCCTGGAAATGGGACAGTGGCTCCCGGCTTGCGGCGGGTTATAAAGCTCAGATCAGCAAACGTAAACTTCTGTTCGCGGGACATTCCAGAGTGGACCCTCATAATTTAAAAGGTACTGTTAATAACGTCGTCCAAAGATTCCAGATTTGGGAAATAATGTTCCCTCCAGTTCTTAATTACTTGAATTTTAAAAGCTTCTTTGATCTCGTGGACACGCCCAACTATATCAGGCTTGTTTCCTACCTGCTATGATTTCACTTTAAAATGTAAAGTTTTTAATTAGAATTGAGGGAATCAAAATTACTCAAATTTTAAAAGACTGGTTCAAAATGAAAACATTTGAAAGACAAAGATCTACCTCATGTTTAATTTAAAACTGGGGGAGAAGGCGGAGAAGGAGTAACAGGGCACCACCCCTGCTGAGGGAGGTGAATTGTGAGGTGAGCGTTAATCCTCGTTAATCCGCGCACTGGACAGTCTGGCCTGGGGGAGCAGACGCCTTCCCATCCCGAAGTTGTTCACGCTGCCCCTGGCAGAGCCTTTTCCGTTGTCTTCCCTCAGTCCGCGGCTGCCAGCAAATGTTTGTTTCTAAAAGGCTTCATCCGAGGAAGGCCGAAATAGAAGCCTCCGTAAGCTGGACCAGTCCAGTGACTATTTAAGTACCTACTATGTGTCCGTTTGAAGTCACCAGACCAGAGTAAATGGCATTCAATAAATATCCAAATGAAAATGTTACGAAGGGCAAGTGTCAGGAAGGGACATCGGGGATGAAACTTAGGGAGCAGCACGCCAGCCAGGAGGAGGAGGAGGGCTGGGGGTGGGGGGCGGCCCAGGGTCACGCAGGGGAGTTTGTAGGCCCCATAAAGGGCTTTGGGGCTCCGGTCCTAAAGCACGGTGGCGGGCTTTGGCCTCCATTGACACTTAATGCATAAGTGCTCCCTGAGGTCTGTCCGCCTGCACGGTTTCCTGACGTCCTGTTCATCGTGTCCTACAGCCGTCTGTCGGGCAAGCGCACTCGGACGCCGGGGGGTCTGGGACTCGTAATCCTGTTCTCTGCTGTGCAGTGGGCCCGCTGGAAACGCAGTCGGCCTGACGTGGAGGCCACGCACCCCCCCCCAGCCACCTGCCGCATGTCAGTGTAGCAGAGTGCATTCGGGAGGAGGAAGACGTGCTATTTTGTCTGCACCAAAATTGTACAATTTCCACTTCCGTGAGGTCTTAGGAACTTGAGATAATAAAAGGCATTAAACCACAGGAAACAAAACACTGCCATAGGTGACAGGGAGAGTTAATAAAATCCTAAGAAAAACTTCCCATGGTGAAATGTTGCTTAGAAGAGCTATCCTTTGCAGTCCCGAGGATCTGGGAAGAGAAAATGGATCTGCCCTTCGTCTCCCTTCTGGCAGCCCTCACGCCTGGGGGATTTTCATAGGAATTTGGAAACCGTGCACTTTCTGAGAAGGTTCTAAGTAAGTGTTCTGGTCCTTTAATTTTAGGGTGTGTGGAACACTTGAGAAGAAAGTTGCTTGGGTGTGTAGTTAGGAATCTGGGACAGGGCACCTGGCTGGCTCAGTCGGTAGAGCATGTGACACTCAATCTCAGGGTTGTGAGTTCAAGCCCCATGTTAGGTGTAGAGATTACTTAAAAAGAAAGAACTCTGATTGAGATAAACAGTATTCCCCTCACCCCCAAGCACACCTCTTTTAAGACTTCTACAGAAATGTACAGATTATGGTACAAACCCAAAGGCTTCAAACAAAATATTAAAATATTAGGTTTTAATAGTATTGAAACCAAAGAACTGTCCACTTAAAGTCCTAACCATCCTAGGACATTGGGGTCAAGAGGTTTTAACCATTTCTTTTTGTGCTCAGACCTTCCTTCAGCTCCACACACAGGAGCCGCCCTCCTGTCACCCCAGCTCCGGACCACATGCAAAGCAAAGTTGGAAGGTAGACTTCTCATGAATCGAAAGCAAGAAAATACTGATTTGACCATAAATATTTTTATTAAATGTGAAAATACACAGGCATAAAAATAGTACCCATATTTGCAGACATATCAGACCCATTTCAATTAATTTTGTTTCTCTATTAAAACACTAAATTGAGATGGATTAAATTAGTCTTGTCTCATTCAGAACCAGCAATAGCCTTACAGTAGGAGTAGTAGTTTAACTTCTCAAACATCTCCACATTTTCTTCCTCCACACTCTGCTTTCCACTGCAGGCAAGAGGCCACCGCAGACCAGTGCAAAACCTGTCACTATACATAAAGCCACGCAGTGGCTAACTGTACTCTTAAATCATTCAAATGAGA